GGCACCGAAAAACCCAATCCCTGCGCCGATCCCTGTTATATTTGACAACACGGATTTCATCTGTGCGTGTCTTTAATTGTCAAGTGCAGTTTCTGACACAAACCCAGGGACCAGCTCCTGAAATTTAATGCCCCCGACATGCAAGCCGATCGATCTCGTGTTCGAAAGTGCAGTTCGGGCGTTGCCCCGCCATCGAAATCAGGTCCTTAAGGGCTCAGGATCTGGCTCGCAGTCGTTTCAAGTGCCGCATTCGGGGCGAGGAGGCGCAAGTGTTTACCATGCCACAATAATCTTTACTAATCAGCTATGAAAACTACCCCGGCGGAATGTTATCGGCTGTAAAATGATATTTGTGTCTGGCACTGAATCAAACTCAAGCATGACCAAACCGACCAAACAAATGTGTTCTTCGGGAATATGGAGAAATTAAGTTTCCATTTTTTGGGGGGCTGGTCCAGAGCCACTTGAGAGGATCGTTCGGCAGAGTAAACGATAACTAACGATCCCTAAACTGCTGATTGAGCCAAGCCGAATTGTCGACAAGATAATGCACTCTCTCTTCAAAATATAAATATATTTTTTTTTCGTTTGGATCCTTAATGACTCTGGCCTTGTCTCTAAAGTAATTGAAACGGTGACGCCATTTAGAATTATCAACCAAAAAAAATAAATGGTTTTCTTTAGCGACAGTTCGGTCGATAAGGTTTTAGGTTTTAGGGGTACAGGTAACACTTTGGTTTAGGGCGGAGGTACAGGTAAGCGTCCCCGCAAGGCGTCTCGAGTCGTTAGGAGGACAATAAACGCCAGGACGCCGGCGCCAGGAAAATTAACCATCGTCTGGCATTTTTGTCATTCGGTTTGACATTCCTGGAATTGGCAGAACCTTTCCAGAATTTATATGGATTTTTCTTTTGTCCCAAAAGAGTGCGATTTTTCACACTCGACAGGAAGGAGAACAACTAAGGCACACACAACAGGTTGATGTCAACCATTTTTGGGAGATGTGAAAGTTGCAAACAAAACTCAAGACGTTTGTCACCTTTTGGTGCAGTAAATTCTTTTTCTTTTTCTTTTGGGAAAAAAGTATTAAAAGATTACAAAAATAAAAATAAAATTTTTATTTATAAATAAAAAAGGACAGAAAAAATGCAAAATTCAATGACTTGACCAAATTCAATTTCAGATACCCATCTAACTCAGCAATTTCATTCCAAACACTTCAAGCCCCTTTTGTAAAGTAAATAAAATATAAATAAAACCAAGGCCAGTCCCGTTCAATTACCCAACCATGAAATAAATCCCCACACTCCATATAAAAACCTTTAAAGGACAATTTCAATTGCTCAACCCCAAGAAACAATCTTCCAAGGGATCGTCTCATTTGATTTTATAATTCGAACCCAACCCATCAATCAATCAACGTGGCGAGTGCACAAAAACATCACCTTCAAAAATTCAAATTCTATTCAAAAGATTATTTTTGGGGATTCTTCTTTGCATCTCCTTACAATTCCGAAACATTAACATTTTTTTCTGGGTACATTTTTTGTCAAATCGAAGTGAAACCAAACTCTTTGCGTTTGATAGGACCCTTTTACCATAATGCCAAAAGAAGAGTTTCTGATTTCGGGGCAAAAAGAGAAAAGAAGAAAACCAAATCGACGTTGGACAATGGCAATCTTTAATCCCTTTTTCCGGAAGGTCACAATTACGCTGGATTGGAGTGGCATTCGACGGTCATATTGGGTATGCCCAGCCCCCTCCTCCGCCGATTGTACATTGTTGCATTTTTGGTTTAAAGAAAAAGGGTCCAGCGCTGCACACGTGCAAGGGTCAAAAATACTCGTCGGCAGCATCGGCGGCAGGTAGAACGGCGGAACACAAAGGCCGACCCCAACGCACATCATCAGAAATGCAAGATAAAAGAGGATTAAACGAGACGAGAACGAAACTAGCCGAACCCTAAAATGACCCAAAACTAATGCACCTCACGGAGGTAGTGTTAACGGTCCACTAGTCGGCCATCAACAGCCATGAAAAAGCAATCATCATCGCGAGAAAGATCCCCTAGATCGTCTCCATGATGTTTGCAGATAAGATTCAAGAAAAAAAACTACCTTTACTACTATATAGTAACTCTAAAGCACTGATCCCTTTGGCAAATAGGAGACCTAATTTCTACCGAATGTGGGAGAAATTTGGTCCAAGTGATCGTGTCTAGACTTGCTCTGGGTTTTTTGAGGATCTTTTCAGGATCGAAAACTGTTGCACGTGTGCAAACACTGAAATTGTGGGATCGGTGGCCTTTCTCCCTTTCTTTTCTGCTGCTTGGCAGACAATAAAATGTTCCCATTTGTTAATGACAAAAAATAAGGAAAAGAAACTGAACAAAAAATATATGCAAACAGAAACAGACACTTTACAATAGAAACCAAATATTCAAGAGTTTTCCTGAGTCGTTTAATAACGAATTAAAAATAGTTTAATATATAATTTAAATATAAATATATTTTTAATGTTGATATTATAAAAAATATGTAAAAAACTATATATTATTTACTGCCTTAAGATTAATGTTGGAATTATAAAAAATATATAAAAAACTATATATTACTTACTGCCTTAAGATTAATATGAGTTTATAGTTTGAACTTCTTTAATAACGAAAATTAATTTAATTTATGATTTTTAATTAACCATTAGGAATATTAATTTTTTTTAGATTAAATTATAATCGCAGGCCCTTACTTTGTTTTAAAATATGTGTTTTGAAATATATAAATATATTCAGAAACAAACCTGGTAAAAAAAATAATAGATGCCCGATAAAAATGACAGCGCTCTCAAATTCTATAATAAAATATTTAACAAGCTAAATTTTACAAAAATATACATTTTAAGAGCTGTAATCTTGTGTAATCTTGATTTGTGATATTAGTTCCCTAAAAAACGCATTGATTATATCGGCCACTACTTGATGATCCAAAAAAAAACCTAAACAAACTCAATAAATTCACATTACCTGTCCCATTTACATATCACAGCCATTATTAATTAGTACACCTGAGAAAAGTCATCGTCAAAGGTTGAACAATAACCCAAAATTAACATAAAATCAACGTGATATGCCTTTCATCGATAAACCATAATGGGGATCAAAAGGGTAAACGGAACGAGTTGCATGTGGAGAGGGTCAAATCGGGTCAAGCACGTCTTCGGGCCAAGTGAAAAAGCCCCCTGACAGCCATACAAGTATTTTAACCCCTTTGACTTTAACCACTGCAAGTGATACAGATATTAACAGCAGCAAATTGGGGCAGAAACAAACAGGTTTAGTCCCAAATAAAAAAGGGGAACCTTAAGCTAAAGAAGAAGCTCTGCGTAATCAGGAGCAGAACCATCACCAGGCGGGGGCCAATTAGGGACCCTCTTAATGATGGCCAGGACAACATCCAACTAAAGAAACGGCCGTTACAAGAAACCCGAGTCCCGGAGCCGTTACAAAATTATGAAAGTAACCTTCGGGGGGCAAGGGAAAAGGGCAAATAACAATTAGGAGGCGACTCATAAACGAAGTGCCGACGAAATTCCAGTAAAATGCGTAAACCGAGCCAAAACCAAAACTCTCGGATACAAAGATACGTATCTGTCTGAACGTGCTTCTCCCGCGTCGTAAATTTTTCACGCATCAACAGAGTGAGCAGGTCCCTCGAACCTTGGAAAGAACAACAATGACAAACAAATGCGATCGGAAGGAGCTGAAAAGGACCTGCCAAGATTTCCCAAAATGCGGCATTAATGCATATTGACTAACCTTGAGAGTCCTATTCCCGAGCCCATGCAAGTACCCGAAAAAATACGTTACTTTCCCAAACTACCTACAGGTTGGGAAAATGCGAAAGAGGAAAAATGTTAAATAGGGACGGAAAAGGACGTCGGAGTGGACGGACAGAAGGGCACTTTCGGGGCCGTCTCAATGAAATAACGGACAAGTCCCTTGTCCGCTTGGGTATTTCCAGCGGCGAGATTGTATCTCTCGGATGCGCAAACCTATTGTTTGTCCATATCCTCCGTCTTTTTTTTCGGGACACTGTGTCGAATTTTAAAATCTCTCTCCCCCCTCACACCAGGACTCGGAATTTTTCCAACAAGTTACGACTTGTCGGCTCTGTACTCTCTTGGAATTTTTCGTCTGGGATTTAGGGATTTCAGAGATATTTGTTTTTGCATCAGAATCGAGCAGGTAGCGAGAGGAGAGTCTGTGCAGGGGAGGGTGAGAAGTCTCTGCGGGGGACAAAAAAAGAGAACTCGAGAGCAGAGCAAGATCAGAGAGATTCTCGAAAAATCCGTTAAAAATCCAGCAGAGAAAGGAGGATGGGAAAAGTTATTCGAATAGATGGTACCTAGTGTGGACTTCTCCGTTTACTATAATATTTCTATATTAAAATATATATGTTTTTACTAAAATATACATTCTTTCTATATAAAATAAAAAATATATATTATTTTATATTATTTTGCTAATGTTATATTATGAATCGTTCTAATTTAGCTTTGTTAATTATAATTTTCCTTACTGTAACTATTTAATTAATAATTTCTTAAATATATCCTTTAAACTTAACCTTTTTTATAGTCCATGTAATGATATTTATATTTATAAAAATATATATTTAATACTACAAGACTTAACATTCACATTCCTATTCATTTTCTACAAAAAATTCCTCTGAAATCTTATTGCTCTTACTCAAACCCAGCATACCCTACCTGCTCAAGGGTAAGGATCTTCTTCTGTCAAACAATACCAGAGACCGGTCTCCATAGGCTCTCCCTCTCTCTGGGTTTTGTGCAACCACCTGCCTGCAGTCTGGCCTCCGATTGGTTGAACCTACGATCGTGAGAGTCACAGCTCTTCAAGAGAACTCTCCCCCGCCGCGAGAGCTCATAGAGCGCAGATGGTATAAAAGGAGCCGGGCCCAGAGCAGGGAAACCAGATCAACATCAACCTCTCAACTGCAACAGTTCAAGTTAAATCCGAGAACTCCAACAACCTAACTCACAATGTCGTTCATCACTCGGGAATACAAGTTTGAGAGCAGCAACGTGATGCAGCAGAAATCAGATCAGCACACGATGGCCATGCGGAGTCTGAAGAAACTGGTCAAACCCCTTCTGCGGCTGGTGCGTAGGAAGCAGCTACTCCGGAAGACCCTCGCCGAGATCCAGAACCAGAATGCAGTCAATGCCTCGCTGGAGGACATGCGCCGCGATCCGGCGGCCAGTTGCGATAACATGGCCAACGAGGAATTGGAGCAGCGACTCTACAGTGATCTGCGCCAGTGTCCCAACAATGTGGCCATGATCGTCCAGCCGGGTCAGCAGCAGCAGGCAGTGGTGCCAGTTCATCCAGAGCAAACCTTCATCCCGGTTCACTTTGCACGCACCAGCAGCGGCACCTTCTTCTGGACATCGGCCGAGGGCGCCCGCCAGCATCACGAGCAGCAGATGCGCCAACAGTTCGATCGCTGGGTCCAGGCCTAGAGTCTCCATCGGATCAACCATCGATCCTCATCCCAACTCGGCAGCTTTAAGTGCAAGTGTCTCCCATCCATTGGACGTCGGATGGACGCGGGTTCAGCTTCGCATGTTCGTAATCTCAGGGTGATATTAGGCATAGATTGGATCCCTTGGGCAGCCGCCCAAAGGAGACGCAACTCTAATTGATATTCAATTGTCACAATCAAGCGTTACTACACGTAAACTCATTGTGATCCCTTGTGTCTTATTAGCTTGTTAGGTTAGTCTAAGTCGAATCATTGTCTTCCATGTTTGTTTGTTAGGGTCTTTCGAATAGGTACCTAGGCTAAGAATCATTGTCTTCCATGTAAAATTCTAGATATAAGAACAAAATAAAATACTGAAAAAGAAATTCAACTTGCTTTATTTATTTCTCTTGGTAAATTCTATCCACAGAAACGCTAAAGAATAAGATCTTCTTAATATAAATATGTAGATGTACCTTATCTCCACAGAAACAGAAAGGAAAATCCTTCTTTCATGAGGAAAATTCAGAAAAAGATTGCTCATTGGAGGTGTCCTCTCTGGGTTTCACTTCTGGTTTGAATAATTAGAAATTATATTGGATTCTTCCTATGCTGGTAACCGCATGCCAATCAGTGATTTTATTGTTTCCTATTTGAGCATCAGTTGGAGTAAATAGATAATGCTGGTTAGCAATTGGAACTGGAATTGGGTTAACACAAAGAAAACTATTTGTTTTAATTTATACATTTTACTTTAAAGATTTTTGCAGCCACCGAAGATTGGTGCTTTGTTTAAATATGCATTTAAAAAAGCAAGAAAGAAAGTGTTACTTTAAAATTGAAGTACTTTAGGCATTTCTTTTGCGCGGATTTTTATCAGAAATTTAGCATTATGGATTAGATGGCAATGAATAAGCCCCTTATTTATGTATTAATTTTATTTCTTATATAGATTTATTATATCCTCTCCTTAACCTTTCCCATAAAAAATTCCAGACAAATTACAATTTTATTACCATTCCATCCACAATATTTGGTTTCACTTTGTTCAGAAACTAATTAGCTTGGAATGGGATTTTATGCATTTTATGCAGGCTTCATTCAGGCGCTTGGATTTCACGAAACCTGACACTGACAACTACACTTGAGACGCCACGAAAATTGATTCTTCAAGGGTTTATGGGGAATTATGCCTGCGGAATAGTTAAGCGAGCCACAAACATGCAAGATCCCATAGATTTTCACCCCCCAAGTGGATAGAACAGGATCCTAGCCAACGACAAGATCCTACTTGACTGGAATACGGAATGGTTCCCAAAATTACAATTACCAAGTATTTCAATAGGAGACGAAATCTGAATTTCAACACGAAACGAAATGTAATTTTATTTCTGTAAGAAGAAGGGGACAAGCCAAAGGAACAAGTGTGAGGACAGTGAAGACTGTCACGGAGAAATATAGTTAATGCCTTTTAAATTTCAATACAAAAATGCATAGGTAATCTTTATGATTTGCCAGTTGGCAAGAAATATTGTCATAAACTTAAATATAATATTTATTAAAATTAAATAAATAATTTAATATAACAATAATAATATTAAACTTTAAAATTGCAAGTCAAACAGCAGTGAATTAATAATAAATATTATTTATTTGTCCTCGGATATATTAGAAAAAATATATCAAACACTCTACTGTCCTTCCCTAATTTTAGGACAATACACTATTCCTATTTTTATTTCAATCTAAATTTCAACACGAAATGAAATTTACATATTTCCCCTACGAAAAAATAAAACCCAACCAAAAAACAAGTGTGAAGACAGTGAAGCCTGCGCCATAAGAAATCTCCCGAAAAATCTCTCCCTACTTGCAGCAGCCAAGAAACCTAGAAAAATCTTTAAGCAATCCCATGGATTCTTCACTGTATTCCAAAGGATACCTAAGACCTACCTGTACCTATCAAAAAAATGAAATGTTGACGTGTAAATATTTCTCGACAACATGTGTTCAACGAGGGTCTGTCACTTTTATCCTCCACTGTCAGCCTATTAACAATTAATAGCCAAAAACTAATCAAGGCATAAATTCGAGCCGAGTCCTCCGCAAACAAACCACTCAAATTACTGAACCGAACCCATGAAAAGGGATGGTTTTTCCTCGCTCCTCGATTCTCCCTCCACGATCCTCGGTTCTCGTTTGTGCATGCTTGCCGCATCGTCCGATAAATATTCGACTGAAATTATACTCTCCCACGACGAGGCCAAGGGAGAGATTTATTTAGGATCATCAGCGTGGAGGCCTCACTTTCCACACGTGCAAGGGTCGCTCGAGGAAAAAAGGGACCCAAACCGTAGCCGAAACTACCTGCCGAGAGTCGGGGAATGCGTGACTCTCATATTTGGAGAAACCGAGAAACACCTGCGCCAGGACGCTACCTGATTGGCCACGAATAGGGGTTGGTTTCGCCAGGATTGGGTATAAAAGCGAGGCGACATTCCGAAGAGGACATCACATTCAATCGCAACGTTGAACAGTCAAGATCCACTGAACTCTACGACTTCAAATAAACTGCAAAAATGGCCTACGAAACTCTGCTGAACACCACCTACAGCCCTGTGGCCTGCCAGAAGAAGACCTACACCCCCAAGAAGGCCGTGAAGAAGCTCTTCAAGGTGGCCTGCAAAATCTTCAAGTCCTCGGGACACCAGTCTCTAAAGAACACCAGCATCACCGCTCCCGTTCCAAAGGACCTTCCTCAGCCCGCCTCCGATGAGGAGTTGGAAAACTCCCTCAATGAGCAACTGGAAGCCGAGCTCGTCCAACTGTGATCGCGGAACTGGACCAACTCCAGATCCCACATCCTGAACAGCTTTAACCAGACTCCTCCGGAATCGGTCTCTAAACATCCGCATCAGCTTTAACTCCACGATCCAAGTGGAAATCTTAAAATGCATAAACAACCAGCTTTAATCACTGTCTTCCATCTATGCTTAAGAGTATGAATAAATACATAGCATTAATATTGAAAAACTTGTTGGCATTTCATTTCGGAACTCGTATTCGAGAACTTTCCCTTTGTCATTGTAATTTCCTTAAAGGTTTTCCAAGAATTTGTAAACCAAAAACCGTTCTTACCCCTTCCCTCCTTCCCAGGCAAGACCCTAAGAACCTTAACTGGAAAAAACTAAAACCTTTACCTGTTCCCTTTTGATTTAAACCTGTTCGGAACCTGTGGATTCGAAAAACTCGAAAAAAAATCAAGCTCAGGGAGGGAACCGAGAAAACCTGTTGTCCCGCGGCGATTTCTGATTTTCGTTTTCTGCGCTCCTTCTTAGGGTTGGGCCCTGGACAAAATAAATCTCGAATTGCATCGGAACAGGTAGAAAGGGACTGCGTCGCCTGGTCCCCGGGATGATAAACAAAAACAAGGGCCGGCAGATCCAGAGCCAAGGCAACAAACAACAACAAAGCCAATCCTATCTCAATAATAAATGCGAAAAGGCCGCACGGATCAGTTCGATCTTTCAGGCAGTTTCAAAAAGGGGGAATACTCGTACATAATGCTGTGCGTGTATTATGTAAATAGTCCAGGCTTATATAGCAGTTAATGCAGATTCCTTATTGAAAGCATACATCTAGGTACAGTTGAGCGAGGGTTTGTTTGGGTTCATGAGTTGCACTTTAGAGGGATTTAAAGTAAAAAGCAGATAATAAAATACATTTATTTAATTAAAAAAAATGAAGTATTTGAATATTAGCATATATTTCTGCAGTTCTAAGTTTTGTTTGGTTGGTAAATCAATATTAAATATTTAATATATAAAAAAATATTCATACAATATTTCTCAGAATTCGTTGGAGATCTGTAAATAATTCGATTATTAATGCAAATATTAGGGGAAATATTTAAATATTTTATTTTACAGAAATCTCCACTTATAATGAATTATTATATTATTTTATATTATATTATAAAAAATAACAACCTTAAAATTGTATGTTTATTTAATGGTAATAAATAATACATTTTTTGACACATTACACATTAGTGAGGATAGCTCTATAATTTAACAAAAATTAAATAAAATACAAAAATTATATTTTCGAGGTTTAACATTTCAAAATATATTAGAGTCTTAATAATATTATTAAAAATAGTAAATAAACAGTTAAAAAATAAAAAAAAAAGGTATTAATATAAATTTTAATAAAATGTATTATAAATTAAAATATATAGAAAATGTATTTAAATTTGAAAATATTTTTATGGAAATAAACTGAATAAATTAGCGTATGTAAAATATTTGTAATATTATATTATACATTGAAATCGGTTTCCCAACTTGATATCTTCACCAAAAGCAAGTCTCATCTTGGTTTCATCCCCTCAAATCAAAATAATAACACTTTTAATATCATATTTCTATGCCAGGAGCAATTAAACACGAGTTAGGGATCCCCCTCCCAAACTATAAATATAAATGTGAGGCCAAACCATCAACGCATCTCACAATAAATGAGCTATAAATGCGATACATTCACATTCAAAAAAACCCTCATCCAATTAATTGAATGGGTGTAGCCACAAAAAACTGTAGACTAGAGATGATCAAGGAGAGGAACCCCCTGGCGTGACACGAAAACCACTAGCAGGTTCATAATAAATATTAACCGAAAAACCCAACAATTGCCCAACTGAACGTGAGAACCCAGAAGATCGTGCCTCAAAGGACATTTCGGCAATGCCATCACTAATCGGGCCAACAATAAGCATAATAAGAATGAAAGTGCACGATTTTGTATAAATTTGGCTTAGAATGTAGCCGGTTTTTGGGTTACAAGATCGACAGGATCGACAGATTTCTGACGAACTGGCAAAACAAACCGAACCCATCGGATCCGATCCGAACCGAAATCCAAAACAATAATGGGTCTCTACGAGAGAAGGCCAGAAATGTGCTGTTCCCACGCCAAGGATTCCTCCGGGGGATCATAATTGTCTTGAAAGAAGGAGAAATGGTCCCGAGATTCCCACGCTTTGCACAAGATCTCGGGATTTTGGGACTCAGGTCCTGCAGGACCTACCTGCTGCCACCGAAGAACGTGTGAAATTTCGGATCCTTGCACCTGCCTGCCTTTCCAGGCCTGTGATTGGCTGAGATGCTGCAGGATCGCTCACAGCCCCCGAAAATGTATAAATAGCGCCTCCGGTCTTAGAGAGAGCATCACACAGCATCCGAACGTCGCAGCGAGCACATCTCAGCACGCATCTTACGCACTCACAGAACGAGAAAAATATCTACAAAATCCAAATGTCGACCATCAGCAAGCAGAAGAACTTCAACACCATGTACAAGTCCAAGGTTTCGCCCTCCCGCCGCCTCAAGAATCTACTGAAGCCCCTTCTGGGGCATGTCTTTAACCTGAAGAAGGAGCAGCAGCCCAAGCGGAGCTCCTACATTGCCTCCGAGGAGAAGGAGTCCGAGTTCGAGTGGCTGAGCAACGACATGGACAACATGGCCAACGAGCATCTGGAGAACCGCCTGCTCGACGAGATTCGGCAGTGCGCCAAGGAGGATGCCGTCATCGTCTACAACGAGAACGGTTCCGGTGAACTGCAGCACATGGACCAGGAGGACTACTACGTTCCGGTTCACTTTGCTCGGACCAATGCCGGCACCTTCTTTTGGACCTCCATCCAGCCCAAGGCCTGCGAACCCTACGCTATCGAGTGGAACTTCCTGGACCGTTGGGCTCAAGCCTGAACTAATCCTCTGGAGCTTCCTTGGGACATTCGCGACCTTGAACACTAATGGGGTTTTTCAACTTTCGCTTGGGACAACTTCACTGGACCTGTGTACTGGAGCTCGGTTCTCCAGCGGGATGGGTACTCCAGAGTTTGGGCACTTCGACTTTGGGTTTCATCGGACTAGGACGGCGCGCTTCTGGGATTTTCCGACTCTCTGGAAATTCCCAAAGAAGCAAATTGGGTAACCACTGCGGTGGCGGGAGGTATTCCAAACAATTAACCCATTTTTTTGCTTTGCCAAAATGGGTTTTAATTGTTATGTATTGGAAAAGAAATTTGTTGTTGTTAACAAAAACTAAAATAAACAATGAAAACTTATTTGAATTTCTTATTATTTATGAGGGAAGAAAACGGGGAATGTTCAACATGTGGTCCTGCCCTGTGTAAACAAGCTGGAGGTCCTGCCTACAGATCCTTTCAAGATGTGGGACATTCCCACGGCACCGAACACATGTGTGTGAGGTTTCTGTTTACTGTTACCCAAAAAGATCTGGCTGGGTTTTGGGAAAACGTGTTGAAAATAGTGAGGAAAACTGCCGTCAGGGGTACATATCTGAGTGTTTAGATAACAACTCATTGGTCACGTTTTAGGAGAGACAGATAAATATTTTATTTATTTATTTTATTGCTTGGTTTTTAGGAGAAACAGGAGCTGAGCTGAAGGATAAATATATTCAAGTGAGCTTATCTTATTGTTTTTATTTTTATTTATATTACTATATTATATTTCTATTAAATATACCATTTGCAGGGTATCATAATTTTAGTCAGAAGTTTGTTACGTAGTGAAGGAGGCATTTCCGACCCTAAAATCAAATATATTCTTGATCAGCATCAACATGCCAATCTTTCTAGCCAAGTCGCGAAAAAAAAGATCAATTTAAAAATTTTTAAACAAATTTATAAGGGGATACATCAAAAAATGAAAAAAGTTTAAGGTTTTAAGAAAATCCAGTAAATGCTGAAAATAAAAATAAATTTCCAGGGAAACTATTTTTGTAGAATTTTTTCTTAATTTTCCCCAGATCCCCAAAAAATTTTACAAATTAAAAAACAAATCAGAGTTTTTTTTTTGTTAGCTTTCCAATGAAGAGCTGTTTTATTTCAACAAAGGAAAAACTATTTTGCTTACAAACTAACATTGCACTTAAGGATAATGGAAGACGCGAACGACTTTGTTGTTAACCAAAACGTAACGTAAGAACGGTAACGTGGCAGTCTGGAGTTTTGATTTTTAGTTATAACAACTACGAGAAGGTCAAACATAACAGTGGGTTTTTTAACAATTAAAGATTAACAATCACAGCTTACGTTCTAGGAACGTGGAACCAACAACAACAAATCTGTTAAAATATTGCACATAAAAATTGTGGGGTGTATTGTCCTTGGGCGAGAGACGCTGTCCAAACGTTGAAGTGTACCTCCTCGGTTTGCGTGTGTGTCCCGCGCCAAGTCACCATTGCACTTTCCTCCAGCCCGGTCCTGTTGTCTCCTCCGCATTGTCCATCCTCTCCAGGCGGCGTTGCGGCGGAGCCAAGCGGTCTTTAAAGCTTCTGTACCAACCAAGGTTTACGACGTGGCGCGACGTAAGGCGCTACGTTGTGGGGGGGTTGCGCTTGGAGCGCGTTTAAAGCTGCAGCCTGATGATCCTCCCTCACTCGCCGCCCACGCCTCACAATCGCTGGAACGAGAGCTTGAGTGGGCGTGGCAGAGTGGCGGCTGAGATGAGGAGAGAGATGTGATCGTTAACGGTTTTCCTTGAGCACTGACTCTTCCAGCGCTGCCGCGCCGGATTTTATACAACTCGCGGCCGACGTTGACGTTGACGCCGCTGCCGCGTAAATAGAGATAAACAAAGCGTACGCACACACACGCACAGCAGTCGTCGTCCTCGTGTCGGTGTGTTTAGGTTTGTGTGTGTTGTTGTTATCATGCATTTATGTACGCCTGGGCCCTTTTCCAGTTATCTCAGCTCGTCGCCGGGCTACTAACCATTTTTATGTTTATCACTTTTTTTTTCGTTATCCCCGTCCCGCCGCCGCCACGCACGATCTTGTGTTTACTTCAGGTCATTCGTTCCGAGTGCACTGGGAGAAAATGTTAACAGGATCTAGGTAAAAGCAGACAATTCTTCATTGAACAAAAATATATATATTTTCTTCAATGGTTTGCCAAAAACTATAGCCTACATCCAGGAGCCTGCTTAGCTCTCTTTAGAAAACCACAGTATATTTTCTTCACACTCCTATTTTCTTTGAGTGTACTGGACGTTAAAAAGTCTTTTGACTTTGGCGTTTCCTTTCTGTTCTTGGTGCGATTTGTTTTCGTTTAATCTTCTTCCACACGCACGTTCGGCAGCCTCTCTAGGGTCCGCTGCCACCGCACCTCTTGCTCTCACACCATCGCCATGGCCCAGCTCTCGCTCACTTTTAACGATCTCGCGGACCCCAAAACAAGAATCCCTCGTTCCCTTTCCAGTGTGGAGCCCATGTAACATGCATTCAGCACATTAAAAATACATACAAACGGAGTACACACATGTGGATGCAGATATCCAGAGACTCGCGTGTAGTACATAGGGAGCGAGTGAGTGGAGGCAGCAGCACGCCCCTCTGGAAATGCAGTTTAATGACCGTTCATGACCAAGTCAATCAGATGCGGGACTATTTACGCATAGCAAAAATCGGGGAACGATTTCTACGACGAATATCGTAGACACAGCCCCGGCATATACGAAGGGAATCTTTAGCAGATAACAGGGCTATTTAAATAGCTGTAGTGAATGGAAAGTAACGAATATCGGAACAGCAGACTTATGCTGGTTAATTTGATATTTTGTCAGCAGTAATAGGGTTCCTATCTTAAATGGAAAATGGTTCTTATCTTAAATGGTAAATGGTTCTTATCTTAAGAAATAGAAGTCAAATCACATGTGTATCTTTGAAATACAAGTAAAATAACATGTGTATCTTTGAAATACAACTACAACCACATTCTTAACTTAAAAACCATTTTGTTTTTTTGAAATATTCCAACCTTTAAAATTGGAAAATGAGTAAAAGCAATAGATATTCATTTAATTCATATTCAAAATGAATAAAAATGCATATATACAGTAATTTATAATAAGAATTCCCTTTCAAACAAAAACCACTCTTAAATATTTATATAAAAGAAAAGAAGCATATAACAAAATCAACAAAAATCCAAAAAAGTAACGTCTAAAAACGGAATATAGTAAACAAAAGAATAACCTGTAAATAGGAAAGAGTATCTTTTCTACCCCCATATTGGCATAAATCTCTCTTTTGGCCGTTACTGTTTATCCTAGACCTTATCAATAAAAACCTCTACAATTACCGAGGGCAGCAGGTAAGGAGGTCTCCTAGAATTGTTTCCCCTAATCATTTCCTTTTTTTTTTCTCCCCTCTTTTTCAGGGTCTTCTTCAGCAGATATCCCTACGTGGAGAGGGATCATGGGAACGCACGTTATGCGTGCGCTCCTCACGCGCAGGACACGTTCGGAAGGAACCGTGGGAAAGGCAACCAAAGTGCATGGAAGAAGGAATAATAAATGCACCGGACCCTCTAGGGACAGGGTAACAAAGAACCCAGGCCATTTCGAATTGAATTAGAAAAGGTTGCCCAAGGTGGAGTTGGGGGCGAGTTATCAATAGGTTCCAAAGAATGGAAGCAATCAGATGTAAATCAAGCAGCCAAGTTAGCAGTCAAGTCATGGTAAATAGGCAACCCCTCAAAGTAGCAAAAGAATAGCTTCCCCTTACGAAAAAAAACATTTGAACAGATTTACCACCTGTGTAATTATATAGAAACCAAAAAGAGAGGTGTAGTAATAATTGTATTTCCAAATTAAAACCTTTTCTACAGAAAAATGTAAATTAAAATAAATTATAATTATTTTATTATATAATGCAGATTTCCGTTGGTCTCCGACTTATACTCCTAGTTGTGGGGGCTTCAACCGAAAATGCCATAAAAAAATACCAATCAAGTTTTGCCCAAGAGTTGGGTGAGTACGAGTTCTGTGTTAAGATGATCGTGGCTTGCGATAAACTCCGGGATACATTTGATCCCCCTTCCGATGAGGATGAGTTTGAAGAGAACCAGGCGACAATCGATGCTGCTTTGGAGAAATACAGAGAATGCTTTCCGAAGGGCCTATCGCTGGACGGATTACGATCATATTGGAACTTGGTCGCGAAATGGGAAAGTCAGGTCCACGAATTATTTCTCCTTGACAATTTGTTCGGCGTAGCCGAGGTGCGTGAGCACGGGCAGCAAATGATGGTGAATTTTGGCAAGAGGCAAGGCTGGTGTCCTTTGTATGATGAACCCCCAGAGACCACGACCACCGACACAACGATATTAGACGACGATTATTCAGATGAAGAAACCTCATCCTTAAATCCTGAGCCAGTAACCACCTCAAAAAATAAGAATAAAGGTGGTTCAGTTGGAAATATCAAGGATTCTTGCAGAGTTCCGAGTGATTTCGATCGATGGGTTCACAACGAAATTTATGGCATCCGCAACATGAGTAGTCTTAGTGAAAGATTTTCCGATTTCGAAAAATTGCTGGGGAAGTACAGCAGCCATAGCTGCTGTCCATATAAATCGATTAGGGATCGTATGGAAGTCATAAATGATGGAATTGATATTCTAGAGGATATGCAGGTTCAAAAACCCTCCGAGAAAAAGGATTACACGGATATAGAGTCTGATTTCCACAATTTGAACAGAAGATTGAAGCATCTAAGAACTGCCAATGGCATTTATTCATCTGAAAAATGTTGCCCAGATTGTTCGGCTCAATTTAAAAGTTTCCAAAATAATTTCCAAAGTAATCTTAAAGATTTCAATCCACCGCAATCGAATGTTACATTAAAGGATCTTCTTAAAAATGTAACAGCCTTAGAGGACACTTGTTCTCAACAACAAAATCAGTTACAGAAAACTCTTTACGGTCTAAACCATAAAAGAGATAAAACCGAAAAAACCTGCTGCGGTGACGAGGAAAATAAAATGAAATTAATTGAAGATTCATTAAAGGATATGCAAACTAAAAACTCCCAGAAAGATGTATCTGAGAAAGTTAACTCTTTAAGAGAAAAACTGGAGAAATCAACTAAAGCCCTTTCACATACGGAAAACATGCTCGGCTTGGAGGCCAAAGAAATTGAAAAACTGAAACAAGAATGCAGAAAAGTAAGCCGAATCCAGGCTACTAAAACTCTTATCGATGGCCTCAGTTCGAATGTGAGTAAACTAGTTAATAAACTTAGCGACTTGGAATCAGAAAGAACCGTGGACATATCAAAACTCAACACACTGGTGGATAGTTTAAAAAATGAAAATAACAAATTTACAGGAATAAATACAAGAACTGCAACAAGCAATACTGAGAAGCATAAGCAAGATATTGCAAACTTAAAGAAGACATTAAAAAATGTCAACCTGAAATATAGCAACTTTCACGTTTATCATGAACTTTACCAGGTGGCTGTAAAACAAATATTTGAAAAATATCAAAAACAGCATGATGATCTTAAGAAATCCGTCAAAACAAGTGAGCCTTCTTTCCGCAGCAAAGTTGGCGAAACCCTAAAACCAGTTATGAATAAATTGGAAGAGGACCTGGTGGACCTAAAAGATACTGCCTTACCCCAGTTGGCCCAGGATATCAGAGACCGCAAAAAAGACACCGCTGGCAAAGTGGAGGAGAAGGATCAACAAGAAATAACTTGGTTCAATGAAGAGGTTAAAAGGAAAAAGGACCAGATTTTGCAGCGCCTCGACAGGTTGAATCAAAATAAAGACCCTGAAAAAGTGCGTCAACTGGAGGCACATATCTCGCAGCTCTCAGATCGACTTGCGAGCCTGGCAAAGAAAGTAGCAGATCGCCACGAAGTCGTAGGGCAAAATGTAAATGAATTGAATAAAAGGATCGCAGCAGCATCGTCGGCTGCTGCTTCATGTCCCAACGACTGCGACTTGGGTGACTTGCCCACCATGGACTCCATAGCAAATAGGGTCAAGGTTTTGGAACAACAATTACAAAGTTATTTAAAGAAATTTGGAAAGAATGAAGTTTAAATTGAGAAACAATTTAAAATGTTCCTTAAACAAAATAAGCTGAAAAATTTTTGTAAATTGTAAATATAATTTTATTAAGTTATATCCTTATTCAATTAACATCAACAAAATAAAATATATCAAATTTGTGGAATCATTTCATTGGGGTAGTAACATTTTTTAAGAAGAAAAAACTATTAAAAAAATGTATTTCTTTTGAAACAGAAAAAATTATTTAAAATTTAATATAATATATATTACTATTATCAAATTTTTAAATTTTATATGAGTTATAAAATTTTTTAAAAGGAAAAACTATTAAAAAATAAAAAATGCTTCAAAGCTGAAAAATTAAAAAAAATATATATATAAAAAAATAAGTTATAATAATACTAGTCCCACTTTTATTATTTAAATTTAGTTGCTGTTTTTGGAAATTGTTGTTTTCAAAATTCCCGCTAACGAGGCACAAAAATGGGCACACTAAAATGCTCAGGAGCACGAGTCCAAAAAGTCTGGCAACGATAGACCGAGACATTGGCGTTGCCAGATTTTCCTATCTAATAAGACAAAGTTGCCACACTTTGAATCACCTGGTGCTGCCAGACTATTTTCCGGCCACGTGCGGCTTTTGTTAAACTAATAACAAATAGTTAACAACAAATAGCTGTCAAGATGCAGGACAACACGCCGCCGCACCGCCCAGATATCGAGTACAGCGACGACGAGGTTCTGGAGGAGATCGAACTGGAGGACGGAGGGGAGGATGAAGAGTTCGACGAGGTGACACTGGAGCAGCTGGAGGAGCGCCTGGGTGGACTGGGCGATGACGACGACGAAGATGACGAGGAGGAGCGACGTGACATGGAGCGCATAGCGCGCCTGACCGACCAGGCGGAGGTCACCTTCCGACAGCACAAGGCCCCGGTCTTTGCCTGCAGCCTGCATCCGACGTACAACTGGGCGGTGACCGGCAGCGAGGACGATCGTGCCTATGTCTGGGACACCACCACGGCGGAGGTGCTGCACGAGATCACAGAGCACAAGGACACCGTCACGGAAACTCACTTCAGCCACGACGGCGCCTACTTGGTTACCGGCGACATGGCCGGCGAGTTGTTCGCCTTCAAGGTCAGCGAGCAGGGTGAAGAGCGGCCAATTCTGACCAAAGTCTGGGAGTACTCCATGAGCGACATGTCCTGGCTTTTCTGGCACCGGGCTGCGCACATCCTTCTGGCCGGCAGCGACAGCGGCGACATCTACGTGTGGCGCATTCCCGGTGGCGACTGCAAGATTCTGCCGGGTCAATCGTCGCGCTGCGAGTCCGGGGAGCTGAGTGGCGACGGCAAGAAGCTGTTCACCGCCTACCTGAACGGGCATGTGAAGCTATGGGACCTGAAGACCTGCCAGGTGCTGATGGAGGTCAACGAGCAGCATCCCCTTGGTTTTGGTGAGATTACGCACGCTGTGGTGGCCTGCGAAAGGGAGTCGCCGTTCTACATCTGCGCCGAGGGATCGGGTGAGTTTGATGAAGAATCTGTGATAAGAATTCCAAGTAAAGAAGTATTTCCTCCTTAGGCAAGATCCTGTTTTGCACCAACAATGGTCCTGTGAGCACAGTGCAGTCGGAGCATGGCGTGGAGTGCCTGGCCTTTGCTCCCGCCAACTCGGATCTCAAGCTCTTTGCCTGCGGATCGCTGGATGGAGAAATATCCATTTGGGACTATGCCAAGACATCGCTGCGAACAGTGTGCGAGACTCCAGATAAGAACGATGGTGTCCTTCGGTGAGTATCTTGTGAAATTAAATGTAGCTTAGATCCTTATTTCTTGTTTGTTTTCAGCATAAAATGGCTGAACGACCACACCATATTGGCAGCCACATCGCAGGGCAACCTGAATGCCTTTGATGCTCGCACGGGATCCCTCAAGTTCAAGCTGACGGGTCACCATTACCACATCTACGAGTTCGTTTACAGACCACAGGATAACCTACTGCTTACGGTCTCCGAGGACCAAATGGCCAAGATATTCAGGGTGCCACCGCTGGGCGATTAGTTAGGACTTTTAAATGTTGGACATACATACATACTGTATATGTAAATATAGGAAATACATACAAAAATTAAGTTCTTTTGACTCGACAGCCAGGAGCAACGACCCCAAGGGGTGGTCCTGTTCCACTTGTCCTATTTGCAGACGAATGAAAGGGTGTGCGGGAGGCAGAAGCCGACTAAAGATAGAAGAAACAAAGCTGAAACAGCAGAGGGAATAATAATAGCAGGGCAAGTGCCTTAAGATTGTTCTTTGTTGTAAAACAAATTTCTGCTTTATATACAATAATTACTTAATTGTTGCCTTGTTAGTTACTTAGTATATCAAAGAAACCACCTAGAAGTGTACATATTTTGTCCTGAATCTATAACAAAACGCTATTATTTTGAGCTCCATTGTAACCAAGAGAAAAGTGCATTCCAAGTGCAACTTGCAGCGCCTTCTCTTTGGTCTCTGGGTGATTCGTTCTCTTAGCAAACAGGGAACATGCGTATTGAGAACGTTTTCCAAAAAAGAGACAAACAATTGTTTATGTTTTTGTTTGTCAGTTCCCTCACTCACACAAAGGCCAACAATTGTCTCTAAAAAATAAAAACAAATGCTCTGATTTACATATTTATTTATTTATTTTATTAAAGCTTTTTTTTTTTGGGAACATTATTCTCGCTCGAAAGAGCATTCCGCTTGATGGGGAAGTGAGGACTGTCCTCAGTCTGTTTCGGGTTATCACGGCGAATGGATTACGGTTCTCCCTGTGAAAGGGTACAAATTTCAAAACGGATAAAGACGTAATATTCTTAATGTGAAAATATACAAAACGAATTAATACCAAGGATATTTCAAACCAAATCCTAATTAATAAAATACAAAGTTACAAAGTTTCTTATTGAAAAATTTAAGTGCATATTTACATTTACACTATAAATAAAGATTAAATGGATGATCATGAAAACACTTGACTCGTGGCATGATATGATGGAAGCAAAGCACCGAAATATTAACGAAAATTGCATATGGAAGTGATCCATCATATTTCTCCTTCCATCTGAATATATATTTTGTGTGTTGTGTGTGGGTGTGTGCTGTGCTAAACTTACAAAAATTAAAAATATAACAAAGAACGAAGGGAATACTCTTTTTCCAGGAAGGATTAACTTCTTATGGAGGTTTATTTTTAAGAATTTATCTTTGGAGAGTAACTTTTTTAAGTCATTTTGATATTGAACAACAATATATCCTTTTATTACAATTAAATATTACATAAATTCTACTGAAAAGTAAATATTATATTGATTTTGAATAAAAGCAAACTGCTTTATTAGTAAATTCGAAATTCCTCACATGATAATAACTTAAAACTGGCTATACTTTGCATGCTTTTTATGATATCACATGTAAACTATTATCTGAAAGTCACACTACCCCCAAGTAAGGGTATAAAAGCTGATATCCCGCAGCTCCGAGGCAACTATAAAAGTCACACGAAATCACAGTTAATCAACCGCAAACGGGGGCCCGAACGGATCCGCCGCCGAACCACAGTGGTTGGACACCACTATGGATAACCAGCACCCCGTGTGTGTGTTTGTGTCTTTTACAATTAGATTACCGACAGCGGAGGAGGAGCTCCACGGATCCCAGCTAAGCTGATCCGAGAGCGGAGCTACTGAACCGGCGATGCAGAGGCGCTACACACTTGTTTTGTTTATTATTTGTATTATTTTTTATGGCGACCCCAGAGGGCGGGAGACGCTTGGAAGCTAATCCATATAGCCGGGCGGACACTAAAGGTTCACGATTCACACAATTGAATTATCACAGTTTGAAATGTCAAATGCACGCGCCTGGCAATGGCATCTGGCCCCCGCTCGCGTTCTCCCTGCGAGGAACTATCTCTGAATATTTCATGATGATAATCTGCTCAAGTGTCTAACAAAAAGTCGCTCCTCTATAGCACACACACACACACACATTAATGAGACCACCGAATCCGAATCCATTGGGAGTAAATTGCCGTCAAATGCGCAACAAAAGAGGCACGATTAGGCTGGGAAGGAAGCCTTATAGAGTGGATTACCCAAGAGGTGGCTACACACTCCATCAAAAGTCGGTTAATCTCTGCAACTGTGGTTAGCCCTTGGGGCCCTTATGCCTCAGACAGTAAAATTAATTGACATTTGATTCACTGATATGTCTGGCAGCTTTATAAATCAAAGTTATAGTAAGATTAGGGCTTCTTATCGCAGACTTCCTATATTTCAAAAATGAACCTAACCGGAAACAAGCAAGGTAGAGACAGTGGGTATTGGTTAAGAGCGATTAGGAGACATATGAAAGCAATTTAAGATTATATTAACATTATAATTTAAAAATAATGTTTAGTAGTTTAATAATCTTTTTTAATAGACATTAATAAGATCTTTAAAAATTTTTTCAATATATTCTATGGTTCTTTAAAAATTTTATATTGACAAGAAAAATTAATGTCCACGTTAAAACCTCGATCAAAATCTGCAATTTTGCAAGTAGAAAATCTATATTTAAATGTCAATAAATATATATTTTTACACGATCAAATATAGCATAAAATAAGTACATTTTTCCTCTATTTATCGGATAAATGCACTTGCAGAGCAATCTTTTCCAACCGTTAATAGCTTGTGGCAAGTTTCACTTGCAATAAATGTCACATCGCTTGGAATTACAGATCTATTAATACCAGATAGCTAATAGTTTTTGGCACATGCCTTGGCCCTAGTTTGAATAAAATGACAACAAAGTTGCTAGAAGATTATCAGCTGCCAGAATATGAATTCCATTTGGACACCGCCAGCACACACTGACTGCAAAAGGTCAATGACTAAGGTGTAAGAGAAACCACTTTAAGAGCGATATTTATATCTCTGGACGGGGAGTTTCTCTTAGCCGGCTACACGTGCTTTATTTTTGGCCACAAACTTCTTTCTAGCGAAATGTTTGCGGCTTCTTGCATCATGCGGATGCCGCCGTGGAAAGTGTGTGAGCGCTCCTTATACAGGTAACACTCATGCGGGGCGACAGGTAAGAGCGCGAGAGAGCAGCTGCTGTCCGTCCATAAAATGAAGTAAAATAAAAGAAACCCAAATAATAAAAAAAAAAAACGGCAAATGCAAAGCCCAAGTTGAGGCGACGCCGGCAGCGACGGCGACAGCAGACAGACAGCGCTCCATATAGAGGGGTAAAAAATATATTCCAAACTTAGTTTCAACTCAGAGCGTGTGGCGAGCGGTCGGTTCGCTTTGGTGATATTTTGTTCGAAAAGAAAAATTCAGAGACACGTTTTTCCGTAACGCAAAGTTCCCGAAGATGCCTCTCCATCGAACTCTATAAAACCACGTGTGTTCCTACAGCTTATCTTTGGATATATTGATATAGTGTATGTGTTGTTCCACCCTTCAGGGCAGAGTGTGTGTGAATAAGTGAGCATTGAAAGCGGCGGAAAAAAAACAACAGAAAAACCATGTGGACTGAACCGAACTGAACTGTATACGAAGCTCCACGCTGGCACAGAGAGAACGCTGATAAAAAATATACAACAAACTCAAGACAAAACCAATGTTTAAACCAAGATAAAATATAAAAAAATAAATAAAAATTCAGAGAAGCAAATCTGTAAAGTGAGAACCTTGAAAGGAGAGCCAGGATCAACCTAAATATCACCAAAAATAAAAACACAAAAAGTGCCCAAATATCAAAGCTACAAGCAATGAACTTAACTAAAAACCTGTATCAATAAATAAACAATAAAAAATATATTAAAATAAATACCAGATCCTTGATCCTCGCTCAACAATATCCCAAAAATATGGCTCGCGTTCAGGCCAGCGACTCCCTGATTCCCCGCCAGGTCTTTGAGGTTCCGCCGGCGGAGCCCAACAACTCCACGGCAGACAGCGGCAGCCAGGGTTCCGGTGTCAAACTGAAGAAACAGATTGGCCTTCTGGATGGAGTGGCCATCATTGTTGGCGTCATCGTGGGCTCCGGCATCTTTGTCAGCCCCAAGGGTGTCCTCAAATTCTCTGGTTCTATTGGTCAATCGCTCATCGTCTGGGTCCTCTGCGGTGTCCTCAGCATGGTGGGCGCCCTTTGCTACGCGGAACTGGGTGAGTAATGGGCCATGTAAAAGGGGTCACTTGTGGAATATACGATTTTTTTTTTTTTGGGAATACATTCCCAGTCGATAATGAGCCCACGCCCAGTGTCAACAAACTTGTGCGGCGCTGGCAGTTATTGCTTCTGGCTGATGACAGCACTTCATGGGTCAGCATATGGCGCATATGGGAGGCGGGGGAGGTTGTTTACATAGGTGTAAGACAAGCTTGAAGCACCTGTGGCAAGCAAAGCTAAAAATAAAGGGGAAAAAGAACTAGAACAAGAGCTCTGAGAGCATTCCACAAAAGTGCTTGGGTCGGAGGAAAATCTGCAATTCCAAGATAAAGAGGTTAAGGCCTGAGATTATCTGCAAATCTAAAAGAGATTGTCATGCACAGAGAGAAATATAAGAATATTTATTTGAAATTAAAAGAAGTTTACGTAAGGATATTAATCAAATATAATTGGAGACAGTCCAGGATAAGAATAAATATTTGTACAGCTTTAAGCTCATTTCTAAAGAGTCCTTTTAAATCTAAAGATTATTATTTTCTTCTTTTAAAACCTTGAATATATTTTTTTAATTTTGAGTTTAAATACACTTAAAAAGTTATATATTGCACCCTTTCTTTAACTTTAAACTGATCTTCTACACAGAATAACATATGTTCCCCTGGTAAATCTAAAAATAACCATCCAGCATTTTGTTGTCACTAATTTTTGTAGGGAGAAAACCAAGAATAATCCGCTTCGTTCCAATTAAAATCGGCTCAGATCTAAGACAAAATTAAACGGAAAATCACTATGAACTTTGAATTGGCTCTCCCCCCAAGTGAATCTGTTGAGATTAGCCATTGTACTCCAGACAATTACCCTGGAGACAGCAGATTTAAGCATGGAAATTAGCTAGGGGCCCATCAAGATGCCCTCTTCAAGGGGCAGAATGACTATCTTAATAAACAAAATCAGTTCCCAGTGATGAATGAAAGAGGGGAATCTGATGGATCTGTTAGGAAGAACAACCAACCAAAACAGTCAATTATCAAAGAATTAGCATTGATCTGTTTATATACAGTGGTAATTCGGTATGCTGTATTTGCTTTACCTATTTAGGTGGAATTTTCAACCCTTTTTTAATTCAACTTTCAAGGTTAAACAACCAGAAATTAACCCCTCAGTTCAAGGGCTACAAGGTTAACTCTCTTTTGAAAGAGTTGAAGATCTGCGGAAGAGAATTTATATGATTAGCTTGTTCTCTTTTTTACGTCATCTTTACTTAGTACTTCTTTATCAAAGAAAACACGTTTTCTTGAATTCAAAACCTGGCAGACACTAATTACCATAAATTTGTCGACAGACGTAAATTTACATAATTTTTGGGTGCGAAGTCTAAGAATAGCGAGAGGTATGCTTATGATTTCTCAAAAGGTTTAAAATAGTGATCAAGACATTATATGTTTTATAAAATATTAAAGACTAACTATATTATATAAAAAATAAATAAATTAGTTACATTTTTATTTGTAGTATAATTTTTTGATACTCATAAACTCTTAAAAATTATCACCTCTTAGTTAAGCTGTGGGAATTTGTTATTTAAAGTGATTATTTCTTCCATATAAACTTAGTTAGCACAAATGCCATCTAATCTGTCCAAAATGACCACTAATTGTTTAAGCAACCCTCGATAAATAGGCAAATATTTCTAAAATGGACGGAACTATGTCACGCTTATCAGTTTGGCAATATTTACTTGGCTCATAGCGAGAGAACGGCTCTTACATTATCTTTCTCTTATTTAAAGATTCATAAAATTAAGATAAATGTGTTACCGATATAAAGACCTCACATTATAAGCAGCATGTAACTGTGTAACCGTCAAAACATTGACACTACTCTTATCATACTAAGAAGATTGAAGCTAATGCTGAAATTTATCCCTTTGCAGGTACAATGATCCCGAAGTCCGGAGGAGATTACGCCTATATTGGCATTGCATTTGGTCCCCTGCCTGCCTTCCTCTATCTGTGGGTGGCCCTGCTGATCCTGGTGCCCACGGGTAATGCCATCACTGCCCTGACCTTTGCCCAGTATCTGCTGAAACCCTTCTGGCCCTCCTGCGAGGCGCCCATCGAAGCAGTTCAGCTGCTGGCGGCTGCCATGATATGTAAGATCCGTTGATAATCAAAGTGAAAATGCACTGACTAATTGTTCGATCTTTGCTCCTCCTAAGGTGTGCTGACCGTTATCAACTGCTACAACGTCAAGTGGGTGACACGTGTGACGGACATTTTCACCGGCACCAAGGTGCTTGCCCTGCTGGTGATTGTCGGTGCCGGTGTCTGGTGGCTGCTGGATGGGAATACAGAGCACTGGGATCAACCATTTTCCGGAAGTCTGCAGACACCTGGTTACATTGCTTTAGCCTTCTACAGCGGTCTGTTTTCGTACTCCGGCTGGAATTACCTGAACTTTGTGACCGAGGAACTAAAGGATCCATACCGGAATCTACCCAAAGCCATCTGCATCTCCATGCCTGTGGTTACAATTATTTACATGATCACAAATATAGGTTACTTTTCGGTGCTGTCGCCGGATGAGATTCTGTCTTCGGATGCAGTGGCTGTCACCTTTGGCGACAAGATGCTGGGCTACCTTTCCTGGATAATGCCCTTTGCCGTGGCTTGCTCCACCTTTGGTTCCCTGAATGGAGCGATCTTTGCCTCCTCGCGACTATTTTTTGTAGGAGCAAGGAACGGACATTTGCCGGCGGCCATTTCACTGATTAATGTCAATTGCCTGACGCCAGTGCCGTCGCTGATATTCCTGGTAAGTCATTAAAAGAAACCCTATCTCTCTTATCCTTAATTTAACTCTTTAATAATCTCTTCTTCAGGGCGTGATCACTCTGCTCCTCCTGTTCATCAAGGACATCTATGTGCTAATCAATTATGTGAGCTACGTGGAGGCCCTGTTCACGCTCATCTCGGTGTCCGGGCTACTGTGGCTGCGCTACAAACAGCCCAAGACGGAGAGGCCCATCAAGGTTAGCCTGGCACTGCCCATTATCTACCTGATTGTCTGCCTGTTCCTGGTGATCTCCTCCTGCTCGCAGTCCCCCTATGAGGTGGGCATCGGCACGATTATCATCTTGTCCGGCATTCCAGTCTACTATCTGACCATCCACAACCCGGTCAAGTGGCTGGCGGACACCTCACAGGCAATTAACCTGTGGTGCTCCAAGTTTTTCATCTGTATGCCCAACCAGGAGAAGTTCGACTAGGACCCAGCAGGGACTCGTGAGATAGAGGAGTGCCTTCTGCGGATGCCTCGATCAATGCAGTCGTCGAGGGGAATACCTTGTAGTTAGCCTAAGTCTCAATTTACAAATAAGATAGGCTTAGCAATTGAAATTCGAAAAAACCTACGCACAACATTACAAAAGTGTTATTGTAAATAACTCAAATGCATTCTGGCGGGAAGAGAACAACTCCCTGCTTAACTTTTATTATTAATATTTGCTTTTATATTACAATTGTTGTATATTTCACCCAAGAAAGAGTTCCTCGTCAGCAACACAGCAGCAACAAAAGAAGAGAAGACACATGTCTAGTATACAAAATTGCGAACCAATTTTTACACATTATACACGTAACTAGGAGCTAATTTAGTAAGTAATAATTATTATTGAAGCAACTTTTGCGGAATGTATAAATCGAATTTGTTTTGTATAAGAAACGTTAATAATAAACCAACTAAATATAGCAATCGAATGGTGTTATTTGTTATTGAATAAAATGTATTTTAAACTGGATTAGCAAGGGGATGAAGTCGATATACAAATCGATATATTGCGATAAATGGGCGATACATTAAATCAATATAATCAAAAGAAGCCAAATAAATACACTTTACCGATATTTTTTGATCATTTCTGTATCTTAATTTTCTGAAATTTAAACATTGATATAAATTTATCGAAATTTGCGATATTTTCGATATGATATTGAGCTTTTTCGATATATTTTCTAACGATAAACATCCCAAGTTCGATTATATTCAGCTCAGAGGTATTTCAAACTCTATTTTTAACGGTTCCTTAGTCCGCAAAAGCTTTTTTAAGCTCATACGCTGTGCGAATCGTAGTTAAGTTTACAGCGAGTGCGCAGAGTAAGGCAACCGGCACACAGGTGGAGAGAGAGAAAGAGAGATCGAGCGAGAAAGGAGAACGCTCTCGCCGAAAGTCGTATAAAAACGTTGCGTGGGCGAAACTGTCATTTCAAAAGACCGTTGAACGGGATCGGTACTGGGCTGCAGCGGTACGGATAGCTCAAGTCTGTGAAAAGTGTCTAAAAACTCGAAAGAAAGTAAAAACCCTCTGGAAAACGCCGAAGGAACCTCCGGGAAATGATATAAATAAATAAATATTAAAAATCATACCACAATCGAGTGTTCAGTTCTTTTGCTAAGATGGCCAAAAGGCAAGTGTTAGGCATCTTAAGCCTCCTAAGCCTGTGCTGCTCTTTCGGAACCGTGCAAGCATCCACGGAATATAATAAGTATCTAACCCAGATATTTCAAAAATACGGCAACGGCGGGACAATCAACTTTGAGGTAATAACCAATAAACCATCGAACTAGCCTTGTAAACACACACACACGAAGAGTAATTTGAGCACAGGTAAACATGGACAAAGCTTTTGCGGTTTAATGTTATGGCAAAAAATTAGTGAGTTTGTCTTTATTTTATTTTTTGGGGAGGGCAGCAACAACAACAAAAACAAAGGGGACAGAGGCTTATATAAATTGAAGTTAATCAAATATTTGTTGTATTGTGAAAGTGTTTAGTCTCGGTGTGTTGTTCTGGCCAAGTTGGCAAACAATACACTTTTTAAGAGCCATAATCGCGTCACTCTTAAAAGGTTGTAATCTTTATAAACGCGCGGGGCAATTTTTTTTATAACCCGGAGAAGCTCTCGTCGTCGTCTTGTTTGGAACTCATATGATGATAGCCGACGGAGCGTAGTCTTTATTGCTGGCATTATCATAAATTTAATCAAAATCCAGACAAACGTACATTGTGATATATAATAGCGACTCGAGAGCATCCACATGGATGTCGTTGCAGCCTCCCCCTATTGTATCATCTCAAGATTAAGAGATTAGACCGTTGATAAGATTCTTTCTCCTAATGAGGAACCACAGCTGACTATGAAACCTGTCATATAGCCCTCTCTATAACTTTCGCAACAAACCCAACACGATCGCTATGCTTGTGGACTCGAAAATTATGGACAGACAGACAGACAGACTGACGACTGACTGAGCCAATTGACATTACTCATGCGTACAGGCTACGCAATACGCCGTGTCCATTTAAATGGCAAAGTTACTAAAGTGATTTTACTATTTACGCACTCGGCATACTAACATTGGAGGTGCTAGACCGCCACCCGCCACCAGCCTGTTATTCTATTATGATTCTAATATCCCAATCTCCAGTTACATAGTATATATAGCACATTTTTCGCTGAATGAAAGTAAAATCGTGATTTGGCGGCGACGACTTCATGGGCTCCATAATAATTAGTTTGGTTTTTTGTTTATGCCAGCGCGTGGCAGCCTAATGTTTGTTCATATGCTAATTCTCCTATCCTGATCTCGGTTAAGGGAATGCCTTGGATCTACTCATCACCGGCGACAGGTGTCTATCAAGGCAATTATCTGGGCCTTTCCCCAACCCCCCAGCTTACTCCTACAGCAAAAAATTGCAAAAAATACAAATAGAATGCAATAAACACAATGAATTCAGATGTAAATATAATTGCTTTGGCACGTTGACAAGTAAATCAAGTAATTATCTCTGATAGATGAGATTGAGTTTGAGTTCCTTTTGACAAATTAGCGGAGAATTGTGAGTGTGAGAATTGTTGTGGGCGGGAAAGTTAAGATTTTCATTCAATTGAGGTTTTTGGGACAATCTCTGACTAAAAACAGCTGACAGTTGGTCTTCGAAACGGTTGAGCTAATAAATAAATCATAATAAAGCTGCCCTTGCATCTCCAGCAACTTCGAGGAGGATCTTTGTGGGAAAAATGATTGTTATTGTTGAAAATTACTGTGACACTTGACCATGTTCAAGGTTGAAAAGAGTATAAATAATAACAGGGAATAGCAAATAAAAGCACTAATATGGGGTAATGTTATATAATATAATAAACAAATACCAAAACATACATTAAATCTCTGAGTCACATTTAAGCTTATGTTATGCCTCGCTGCAGAGTTAAAAATACATTTTAAACCAATATTATGAATGAGTAAATCCAGCCACGAAGGCAATGAAAGGTACAAACATATGTACATTCACGTTAAAAACAAACAGCTTGTCTGTAATCAGAATAAAAATATATGAAAACAAATCTTATTTCCAAGAAACAGACCTTTTTACTAATTGCACATTAATGAATTCTGAAATGCTAATAAAATTCTTCTAAACATCCCCATTCCAGGGTCTTGAGCATTTGATGTTCAGCTTGAACTTGGGTCAAATTCAATTTGAACCCTCGCACTCCCTCGAAGAGCATCGACCGGAAGGATATGCCAAGGTTATCAATGACAGCTCTAATATAACCAGTAACTTCCTGGAGGAGCCGACACGCGCCAACTCCACCGATGAGGAACCTTTGGAAGTTGAAATTTCCACAAGCAATTTGACAAAGTCAGAGTCAGGGCCAGAGATACCGGAATTCCTGGAAATACATGACCCCAGACATAGGCATCCAAGGGAAAGCAGTGGTGAGTGTGTGTCCAGACCATAATCTCTATATTTTACAGATGTCCCGCCATTATCTTTATGGTAGGGACTCCGCCTAGGTGCTGGCCATATTATTTATTTACCGATGCCTAAGATAGCTCAAGAAAAACAGAGACAACAGAGTCATAAACAGTAGGCTAGATCTTTCTCAGACACAGATATCAAGTATCCGCAAAAGCTGAGAAATTCCAAGAATACATGGATTATGGCTTACTTGAATGGCAATTATAAGCGTGCAAATATGATAAAGCACTCACTATATACCTGATGGGACAATACCCATTGAGGTCGGTAGAATGGCGTCGTCGCAACAGAATGAAAATATAAATAGCTAAAGCCGGGCCTCGATTGGCCGATTTCCAAGTGCAAGGCGACCAGCGAATGGCGACGGCGGTCTATGATCAATTCAATTATGCCATCCCATTCTCCCATCTCATTTGCCTGATAGGAAGTTCCGTCTGTGGCCGTGGCCTTGTCGCATAAATTATCATCAATATATATAGATGCATTATCAGATGTACCTGTACAATATCTCTCTCTACTTTTGGGTCGTAAATGTACCCGTAAATCACTAGGTAGGAAAGATCATTGTCACGACGAAAACAGGGCGATAACACGATAAACGAACGCGTTATGGATGCGGAAATCCAAAACAACAACAAATGAAACAGATACAAGACAGAATGAGAAACAAACAGGCCTCAATTCTTTCGTTTGTTATTTTTTCTTCACTGAGATTTACAGTTAATTGAAGTGCACACAGTCATTACAACGATGTCCCATATAAAGTTAACACTAAACCGACGACGACTGAGTACTGACTTTATGACGAATTCGCACATGCAAATTGGATAACAATCAACTGGTGGGAAAGACAACGTGCCGGCAGGCGAGAAATGTAATTGGTAAACTGCCAATGCCTGAAAAAGGTAAACAAAAGGCATTCTAAGGGTCTGGAGAAAATTCCCCATAACCAATGGATTTACCCAAAAGAAACCCAGAACAACTGGGAAAGTAGAACTGAATCGGGAATTCTAAATAAGAATATTTGATTCTATCTAATTCATTTTATATTCTAATTTTCAGATCCCGTGGCTGCCTGCTTATCGCCCAAGTCCTTGCTATCCCTTTTAGTAGATCACAATGATCTGCACAAGAACACAGCCTATCGAAAACTGATCAACAAGGAGGGTGTAGTCTCCGTTGATACCATTCACAACTCCGAGGAGGAATATAATCAATTCATCAACTCGGTTAGGATAACCCCGCGAGCCTTCATGAAACTCTGTCCTGCTTTGCTGGCTCAAATCGATAATGGAGTTTGCAAGCAACCGGCTCCAAAGTCCAGTGATCTTGAGGAAAAGAAGCAGAAGATTTGGTATGGTAAGTGTCCTTAGAATCCTTTCATTCCCTTCATCCTTTAATTTCCAATTTTATTTCCAGCTTGGATAGCCGCCAGTATCTCCATGATAATTCTCTCCGCCTGCGGCTTGCTGGGAATTCTTTTAGTTCCTTTGATGAAGACAGCTGCCTACCAGGAGATACTCAAGTTTCTGGTTTCCATAGCCGTGGGCACTTTGGCGGGCGATGCTTTGATGCACTTGCTCCCTCATGCTCTTTTCACGGAGGAAAAACATGAAGAGGAGGTGACTGGCATCAATCCCTTGGAATCGGATCACAAGCATAGCAACGAGGCAGCTTTGCTCTGCGGTTGCACCTTCCTGGCAGCTCTTTTTATGTACATGCTGGAGAATTTGATTCCCATGCTCAAGGGAGAGAAGTCAGGACACGGACACAGCCATGGACATGGTCATAGTCACAATCACAATCACACAAAGCAACAGGAACTACCCGATCTCCCAGCGCCACGCGAACTCAATGTAATGCTGCAGGAGGCCAAGCTGGATGAGAAGACACCCGAACGCCCACTCACTCCGGTGGCCTTTATGGTGATCATTGGCGATGGCCTGCACAATCTTACCGATGGCCTGGCCATTGGTGCGGCATTTGCCACGGATCCAGTCACAGGCTTTGCCACAGCCTTTGCCGTCCTCTGCCACGAGTTGCCCCACGAGCTGGGCGACTTTGCACTGCTCCTCCAAACTGGCGTGTCTATGCGCAGAGCGATCTACATGAATATTGTGAGCTCAGTGCTCAGCTTTGTGGGCATGTCCGTGGGTTTGTTTATTGCCGGCATCGGTGATGGGATGACCCAATGGATTTATGCAGCCACGGCTGGTTCCTTCCTGTACATAGCCTTTGCCGATCTGGTGCCCACGATGAGTGTGGCCCACAATCCGGAAATGGCCACAGATGTAAAGGGTATTATTATACAAATATTGGGTATTCTCCTCGGCGGACTGATCATGTTGGTTATTGCACTGAAAGAGCACGATTTGCAGGGTCTGTTTGACGTTTTTTCAAAGAGTTGAGTAACTCAAGGGGAGATTTGATAGCTTTTCCTTTTTGTTTTTTGTGTAGATAGTAGCTTAAGCCAAAAGTTTTTCCTAGAATCTCCATGCTTTGCCTTCTCCTAGCATTCATTTTAAATATAAATACCTTAAAGATATAATCGCTACCAAATGCAAAAAAGTCTGTGGTCAAAGTTTAAGAAAAACAAACTTATTCGTGCTCCAGAAATATTAAAAAATATAAATAGGAGAAAATTGTGCAATTTTTTAAAGCCTTTGAAGGGTTTTTTTAACTGAAAAAAAATCTAAAGAGTTGGAGTGAAATATTAAAAATGAGAAATTAATGTAATTTTTAAAAACCTTGTAGGAGGTTCTTTTTAACTGAAAAATATTACCAAAAATGTGTTCCATTATAAATAAATGGAAGAAAATATTGTAATTTTCAGAAAACCTTTTACGGTTTTTTTAACTTAAAAAAAAGTTACCAAAAAGTGTTCCATTGCCAGTAAATTGTGTACATCTTTTGAATTGTATCTCTTTCCAAAGTTGCATTCCCTACATTAAGTTAAAAGATAAGTTTATAAAAAAAAAATTGATTTCAATGTTTGTTTTTTGTAACAAATGAGGACGCTCTTTAATTGTTTACCCTATTATATAACTTTAAATATTAAAGAACGCTTTAAGATAATTGCAGTTGTTGTTGTTCCTCGAAGGGTTCATTGGGCAGGCGAGCGGGGCTCTATAAAATGTAGTTTTTTTATATATATAAAGAATAAAATAAAATTCCGACAAACTCACCGGTTTCTTAGATCTCTCCTCGAGTACACCAAATGCCACATGGTTAAGCTGGAAGCCACTGGGCAAGGCAACGCCTTGAATACGATAAAAGGCACCGGCAGCACCTTCCTCTGCCACCTTGTGGGCTGCCGAAATTGTACACTTGCCGAGAAAACTGGTAGAACCGACCATAGGACCGCGCGAGATATCGATATGATCACCAAGACGATAGAGGGTTACTCTGCCTTGAGTCTGCTGTGCAATGCTGGGCAACTGTTCGCTCTTGTACTTGGAATCCTTGAACATTTCCTGGGCAAGATCTTGCTGGACATCCAGGCGTTCAATACGCAGATCTTGGGCGGCCAATTTAACCATCTCAGCGGAAATGGCGCGCATCTCCTCCTTGGTGGGCTGCCAGTTTTGAGTTTGCAATACAATGTCGTGCACAAAGCTCCCAGATTTAACTAAAAGAAAATTATGATTATAAGTCGATTTAGTAACAATATTATCGAAGAATTAAGCTCACTATTTGGTCCAGGAAAGCTGTGCAGCTGGAGTCCAGCCTCTGGCTTGAAGGCCCTGTTCAAGGCGGCGCCCAACATAAAGCTGCAAGTGCGCCAGAAGGCTCTGCAAGAAAAGAGCAATCAAATTTAAATAAGAAGAAAGTAATTAAGAGTAGGTACACCCACTTATTGACTGGATGCGGCTCTGAAACATGAAAGTTGAGCAGCTGCAGGGTGCAGGATTCTTGCAGTGGTCGATGCATATCCCAGGGCACACTGCCATCGATCAGGGCCAGAGCCGAGCGCTTGCAGTGGCCCTCGCTCAGGTGCTGGGCACAGTTGTAGGGCGTGGAGATGTTGCTGTTCATCACCAGAGTCACGTCCTCGGGCAGGCCCAGGTACCGCACCTCGATCTTGTCGATGCGGCCCACGGCATCCCGTTGCCGCCGCTGTTCTTGGTTGAAAAGGTCATTCCGCTTGGCAATAGAGGCAGAACTACCGCTCAAGGTGGCTGTAATAAAAAATAAATATATTTAATTTAAATTTAATTATTTTAAATTTAGCTATATTCTCTAGTTTTCAGCTTTTTCTTTACACCTGAGACTCCGCTAAGCTGTCATCACTGACACTGGCGCTCCGCTGAACGTGAGTGCCCACCGGCATTATGTAAACAACTTTCCACGCTGTTTTTCAATTAAAACTTATTTAATAACGCTTACTTACCCTTAGTTCTGTATTGTTGCAGCTGCCGAAGCGCGCACCAGCTGGTTTTATGTAATTTTGTGGCCGCCGACATGGTAAATGATCAAAATACGTTCCCAGGGCTGCAAAAAAACACTTGCGATGACCGATATGCGATAGATTACCGTAAATCCTATCGAAAGTAGAGCCGATTGGTATATTTTCAAGCCCGAGATACGGTCACACTGTACCAATTTTGTTTGTCATTCCGCTGGGCAAAAATTCATAAAACTTAACTTCATTTTGCGATTTTAGTTGAAAATAAAAAGCACAAATAATGGATTTGGATATTAACCGCGATATGCCCCGTGCCGGCTTCAACTTCGACAACTGCAAGCGGTGAGAAACGCCCGCGGCTTCCGGTAATCCTCAAGCGGCTTTTACTGACTTGCTCCTCTTGTCTCGCTTTCAGCAATGCGACTCTTCTGAAGGGGGGCTTCAAGCCGCCGACCACCACCAAGACGGGCACCACCATCGTGGGCATCATCTTCAAGGATGGCGTTATCCTTGGCGCCGACACCCGTGCCACCGAAGGTCCCATTGTCTCGGACAAGAATTGCGCCAAGATCCACTACTTGGCCAAGAATATATAGTGAGTTTCCAGATCACCCCGAGATAAGCAGTACCTCATATTTAACCCAAATCCCTCCCTCGTACAGCTGCTGTGGAGCCGGCACCGCTGCGGACACTGAGATGACCACCGATCTGATCTCCTCGCAGCTGGAGCTGCATCGCCTGGCCACAAAACGCGAGGTGCGCGTGGTGGCCGCCAATGTGATGCTGAAGCAGATGCTGTTCCGCTACCAGGGTCACATCAGTGCCGCCTTGGTGCTGGGCGGAGTGGACAAGACTGGCCCCCACATCTACTCCATCCATCCGCATGGTAGCTCCGACAAACTGCCCTATGCCACAATGGGATCTGGTTCGCTGGCCGCCATGAGCGTGTTCGAGAGCCGCTGGCGTCCCGATATGTCCGAGGAGGAGGGCAAGAAGCTGGTGCGCGATGCCATCGCCTCTGGTGTGTTCAACGATCTGGGCTCCGGCTCCAACATCGATCTGTGCGTCATCCGCAAGGGCAGCGTAGAGTATCTGCGCAACCATGAGTTGGCCAACAAGAAGGGCGAGCGGCAGTTGGACTACCGCTTCAAGCAAGGCGCCACACCCATTCTGCACACGAGCGTCAAGGATCTGCTCATCACCGAACGCGTCCAGGCGGTGGTGCCCATGGAGGTGTCTTAGAGGACACGGTTTTTTCTACATTTTCACGTACATTTATTATAACACACGAGCTCAGGGCTCGTCGGATCTGCTTGGAGTGGTTCAATAAAAGGAAGCCATGCTTCGAATAAAGTGAGTTTTTATTTTGGGTTTTATATTAGACTAGTGGTACTCCTAGACGGACGATGCTTTGGTCAATAATGAACACGTAACCAGGGATTGAAATAATTAATTCGTTTTTTTTTTCAGAAAAAAATAAATAATTTCAAATTCATAAGAATTAAATTAATTTTCCAGAGAAAAATAATCAATAGTAAAAGTAATTAATAATACATTTTTTAGTGAAAAAATGAATTTATTTTTCATGCATTTTGAAGAATAAATCTTGTTTTAAATTAATAAATTTTTCATTATTAATTATAAGCAATTATTAATTATTCTTCTCTGAAAAATAAATTATTAATAATTTTTTTTCTCTGAAAAATAAATAAAATAATTATTTTTGTGGAGACCAGGAATACTCCTCAATGGTATTGAGTTTTTAAAATTAAACATTTACAAAATTAAGCATAGCTAAGATACCTTAACCGATTTCGAATAGCTTTAAATAATGCCCATAAGTAAGCTACAAAATGTCTTACAAAAGAATGCTTTTTGCATAATTTTAGGTGACTTTTAATTACCTTTAAATTTATTTAAAATTGGTAACGACTTCTGTGGCATTCCTGATAGACTAGAAATTATAATCAACTTTAGAATGGTTCCCTAAAAATTATAGCATTACCATTGAGTGAAATTCCTCCTGCTCTATTAAGTAATTTAATCATTCCTGCACAAAAACTAAACTAATGATAAAGATAAAGGCTTCATCTGCCCCTTTCGAGCTTAACAATTAATTTTAGCTAATATCACAAGGTTTTAGAGGGGTCAATTCCTAACAAGTTGAAGGCACTTTCCATCTCCTTATACTAACCGATTAATTGGCACCAAGAATTCACTTGATTGAGTCAAATCATACAGGCTCCTCTGCTCCCTAACAGCCTAGCCTAAGCTAAGATTAATCTAAAAGCTAACAGAAGTAGGGGGAGCACCAACCACGTGGTGTGATAACCACTGCTGGCGGTTGCTCCATTTGGCGTGGGTTCTAGTAGGTGTGACACCGTCAGGCAGGATAACGCTAGATTCGTGGTGATCCTGGGTGATTGGGCGTTGATCAACGATGATATCTTCTCGGCCTCGCGGGCACAGGCCTCTAACTGGAGACGCGACGGTCGCTTGACACTGCTGGCTGGCACCAAGGCCACAAAGATGCCCACTTCCATGGTGAGGAACCCTGTCATCTGGCACTCGCTGACCTGAACCAGGCCATCCAGTTGCTGAAGCACTCCATGCAGGGTCAGCAACGTGGTGCTCTGCGCTCGCAGGCCATACATGGCGCGATCAAACTGCTTCCTGGAGTAAATGATACGAAAAGCTCCTCCAGCGCACAAAGGACAACAGGCGCCTGGGGGAACTATCAGCCGACAGTGCTTGGACACGGGAGCTGGACACACCACAGTTCGGCAGCGTCTGCCCATGTCGCTGGCCAGCAAACCGACCTCTCGACACCTTCCCACATAGTCAACCATCACGTATTCCGCGCGGGCAGCAAAGCTGCTCTTGTAGGTAACTCCATTGATGCCGCAAACTGGTGATGCTGAGGCAGCCGTCCTGCTGGATTGACAGGCAGACCAATAGGCTACCTGAGCCTGGGGATTAACTCGCAGCATGGCACAGGCATTCGGATAGGTGCGTCCTTGGGTGTCGCACACCTCACCCTGGTGGAAGGAGGAGCAGTTCGAGGCGGTGGCGTTGACTGTAAGGGAAAGAAATCTGTATAAACTCAGAATCCACAAAGTAAACTCCCCAACTTACCACACACATACTGCAAGCAAGGCCTCTGCATGCTGGCCAGGCACACCTTCCTCTTGTCCAGGCACTGAGTTCCCTGGGGACAACTATTTGGACCTGCTGCCTGGCAGGCATTCCGGGCATTGCAGGCCCCATAGACATAGTCCCCCTCCGGCATATGGCACTTGGCCACGCAGGCCGAGGGATAAGTATTCCCATTAGAGCCACAAACGGGAACATAGTGAGCAGGACAATTACACGGGAGACTGGTGTAACTGGAGTCTGCGAATCCCGGCAGGCGACACTGCTGCTTGGTGCAGGTGATCTCGCCGGCAAAGCAACTGCAAAGATTACATTCCAGGTAAAAGGAGGAGCCATGGCGATAGCTTCTGCCTCCTGGCAGGGTGCAATGGGCGTGACTGTAACTCGGTAGAGGTTGACACTGCTCCAGGCGACCTTGTAATCCGCAAGAGCAGACTATGTGCTCGGCCAGCGGCAACTGACCCACCTCTATTTTCTTGTGGTTACTCTTTCCCAGCCGCACATACGAGCCGAAGGGCACAAAGAACTTTGAATCCTGTCCCAGGTTACAGCCTGGTATGCAGGAATATCCTTGGTTTCCGCCCCGCTGCAGGATGCACACCTCGCTGCCGTTGCAGGGTTTCTTGGAGCATGGCGAGGTGATGCCCTGGGATTCCTCGGCAGTGGAATCCCCCGGCTTTAGGTAACCCTCCAGGGAAATACACGGCAATGGGTCATCTTCATCCTTTTCCTTCAGCCTTGAGCAGATATCCTTGGGTCTCTGATGCTGTCGCGTCCAGTCTAGGCACTCCTCCAGGAGCTCATGGCAATCCTCGCTGCAGATGCCATTGAAGAGATCCACACGAGTGCAGGGCCTGAGTTGGAGGGCACACACCAGAGCCTGCCACTTTTCCGGGGCACAGCGACTGGTGTTTTTGATGAAGAGCTCTTGTCCAAGGACCCTCACAGTTCCTCGCTGCTGTAATAGCTGCAGATCCTCTCGAGCCGCCGCATCGTGCTCAGGCGTGCAACTCCGGAAGAGTTCCGTCGGTCGGTTGTTGAAGTTGGAGCAGAAACTGAGACCCTGGCACCCCAATTCACATGGGGCATCCACACTGTCAATGCAGCGACGCAGGTTCCTCTCCCCTGGCTGATCCATGCACTCGTTCTCAAAGCTGGACCTTGCCTCCCACCAGTTGCTGGTGAAGATCTGGTTGCACAGACGCCGGCACTTGTGGCTGCTGGCCTGCTCGCAGCACTGCCTCTTAGCTGCATCCATTCCTAAATGATTGGGTTCACCCAGAGCTCCTCCCTTGCCTCCTAGGCGGGTGTGGGAGGGGGAACCCCCTGCTCCTCCAGATCCGCCTGGTACATACAGTTTCCCTGTGACCGTTAGAAAGCACTGCCAGAAGGGAAGTTGGGGGAGAGGAGAACCACATCCCGCCGCCTCTAGACGCGAGAAGATCACCTCACTTCGCTCCATCCTCGTGGCGTTCTGGCGAAGAAGATTGCGGCAGGTGTGCCGGCAGTGCTCCTTGTTGCTGTACTCACAGCAGGGTATATCTGTGAAAGGAGTTTGGGAATTACTTCATGATCAACAGTTTCATATTTCCGAGGAAACTTACACTGCTCAGCATTAGCCAGCGGAGTCATGTCCGTGTGGTTGTGGATGCACTGCACCACATCCAAGTTGCGCTCTCCACAGGCTCCATTTATGTCCACATGATCCTGGTTGTCATTCGAGGGCTCAAAAACAGCCCGACAGGCCTGGAAATATTTATTTCATTTTATTTAAATTTATTTCTTTAGTTAAGATTTATTTTTCATTTAATTTCCCACCTCAAGACACTCGGAAGTGCGCGCCTGACCGCAGCACTGATCCGCCGCCTCCTGGCGCTCCAGGCAGTCGTACAGCGTCTGCTCATCGCTACGCCGGCAGGTGTGCACAGGTGAGCGGCTGGAGGAGGCGCAGGCATTACGACAATGTGGCAGAACCCCAAATTGGCAGCAACGCCTGCCCGACCAGTCAGCACCACGGGACACCGCTGTAGGATGAGAATTAAATTGAGTAAAAGGAGTGGAAGAGTAGAGGTAGTGGCACTCACCATCGAGGGTCTGGTTAACGCAGGTCCAGAACTCCACCTGGTGGAGTTGACAATATTTGCGCAGTTCCTCGCGACTATCCCCAGTGCCGCCAGTGGCATATTCAACCAGAGATAACTGGAAAAAATATGCATAAATTGCCATAGACAACAAGTTATTAATCGCAATCAGACTTAATCATCGGCAAAGCGATTAACCCGCTCCTGACCCGCAACCTGTTGGGGTCTCAAGTGCTCTCAGAGGTCTGCAGTATTTCAATTTGAACACTTGAAAAAATGTCAGTAGAGAAAATGCATTTTAATGAAATCCTAGGAAATTATTCATTATATTTTGTATAGACTTCAATCTTCTTGCTAAGTTTTAATAATTATGTTCAGTTAACATTTTTAAATATTTTTAAACATTTTGTTGTACTTTAACCCATTTTCTCGTGAATGCCTGGGGTTAAACTGAGGGTCGAGAGTCTCAGGTTTGCAGTTTTGCTCTAAAAACATGCAGGTTGCATTTTTGTGCTGATTTCTTTTCCTTTTCTTAAATTTTTTGGGGTATTATGTTACATTTCTGAATGCTGTTCTGCTCCTGACACCATCATAAATAACATTTTACAGCCTTTTCTCTCTATCTCACTCTATCTCTCTGTCTGTCTCACACTCTCTATCGATAAAGAACCGGCCCAGGAAACTTCAATAACAAATTTCCAGGCTCATTCCCATTTCAAGTCTGAGGCGGGCATATCTGCCACAGTAATCTGAGTAAAGCGATGTCTATCCCAGATACTTCGTGTGCTTGTCGTCCTCAGAAACTTGTCTGGATCTTGAGCCTGGTGGCATTGCCATAAATACAAATTAACATAAACATCGGGGCGTGGATAGAAAGGGGTTTTAGGTAAAATTTTAAAAATAAGAACCTTTAAATTCAGGAAAACAAATTAGGAAATTAGTAGAATTTAAAAGGTTATATTGTTCTATTTTTAAAAGGTTTCACAAGATTCCTAAGGGTGAAAATATATAATAACCATGTCCCTCTACCCTGGCATACCTTAATTTCCCTTTCAACGCTGTTAATATCACCATTTATATGGGGTAATTGTAGTTGTCCGATTTAATTACATGTCTATATGGTAGTTCCTCCCTCTGAGTTTAAACCAAATTGCATGTTACCCTTTTACAGCTACGCCCCTGGTGGGTACGCACTTCTGTGGCATGTGTGTTCCTGGCTGAAATCCCCTCCTCGAGCTCAAAGCTCTCAGATCTCGGCTCTCGGCGTGTCTGTTGCAGTTTTGTTAATGAAGTGTCCGTGGCCATGTCACGCACTCCCACACACAACATAGTGGATAAATACAGGGCATCCCACCGGAATCCCGAGGACAACCTGCCCACCTAGGCACCGGGAATACCACCATCAAGATTACGGACCCTGCTGCAATTATCAGGCCTCCAGCCACAAAAGACTATTTTGTTAATAATAAAATGAGCGTAAATTTTCACTTATCTCGGCGAGATCGTCGTCGTACGTCTCGGGTTCGACTTTTCACACATTCAAGGAATAATTTTAGAGTGGGGGAGAGGAGTCAGGTATTAAAGGAGGGGGTCTCATATTTCTGATATTTCTACCATTTCTACGACACCCACTTGTAAAAAGCAATTCAAAAGTGGATTTAGGGGGAACGCCCATGGGAACCCAACCGGTCTCAGTCTTTCTGGGCATTATCCTGTTTGTCAGTTTCAATTTGGCCAAAAGATTTAATGCCTTCATTTGCATTTCTAAATGAAAAAATTGGCAAATCCCCCAGCCCACTTTCGGCTGAGAAAACTAATTGGTTTTGGGGGGAAAATTGTTATGATTACAAAGTTAAATGATGTCAGTGATTTGATTGCCGGCATTGCCTCTAACTAAAACGGGGGCTAGGAGCTGAGACCAGAGCCGACCAGGCTACCAACTAGACATACACACACAACCAACACACACTAGACACTCACTCTTCATAGACAACAAATTGATTTTCAGCCGGCTTGGGTTTTATGAATGACTTTGAGTGGCAAACTGGTTGGTCTGGCTCTTTATGAGCACTGGGAAAAAATGTTAAAATGTTTCCCTTTAATAAAAAATGTAAACAGAACCCTCTTAAAAATTTTTTAGTACTATTTTTAAAAATATTTTAAGTATATATTCATAGTTTCCTAAAGCATAATTTGGCTCCCTTCAATGAAAAGTTAAAAAAACCCATCTTAAACATTTTTTATCACTATGAAACTATTTTAAATAATATTTTAAATATATATTTATAGTTTCCAACTCTTCGACTTACATACATATTTTTTTCCTCTCAACTTTGTTTGATAATTTCTTAATTACTAGTTATTAATTCTTATGCAAAAAAAAACTATGGCAACAATGTGGTGGTTTTCTTCACTGCATTAGACTGTGCCTTTGGCCTGAGTTTGGCTTTTGAGCCGCAATTACTTGTTGACCAGTTTATGCTAATTAACAATGCAATTTGTACGGATTTTTCTCTCCTTTTGGGCACAAGGCTCTAGCTCAACGGATGTGGGGATATAAACACATTTAAAGTTCCACCGAAAAAACCTGTCATAATAATTCTCAATGGCTTTTCTTCGTGTGACAGTCCGTCGGATCAACGCTTATTGAATTCTAAATGCATATTACTTAGTATGCACCACCGATCGCACCATTCATAACGAGGCAAAAGGAAGAACCACGAGCACATTAAAATACCAGGAAATGCATCACTCTGGCTCGATCGGTAGTTTTCCACCTTATCGGCTTGTCCAATCTGTATCTGATCTGCTGTCCGAGGTGTTCATACTGCCCCGTAGATGGCTGGCTAGCTATGCCCCTGGCTGGCGTTTAATATTTATGACAGACACACATCATTTCCCTTCGAGTTGGCTTTGTACTCCGGCTTAGGCGCCTCGCAGCACCACCGTATAGGGTAAAAATAGTTATGAACGTAAATATTTTGATATATATTTTTATAAAAAAAAGGCTTAAGGAAATTTATAAAAATTATGTGAGATAAAAATTGTATATACTTTGATTTATTTAATGTTTTATAGGTTTACATAACACTTTTTGAAATGGTATGCAAGTTGCTTGGATTTTTTTATTATTATTATTTCAATAATTTCTTAAAATCTTCAACCATTGAAGGAAAAAAAGTAAAAATATTTATATTTATATATTGATATTGAAATTCTAAGATATTTTCGATATATATTGAATCATACCACTTCCTTTTATCGATTTTCCCGATATACCTTCCTATAATAATATTATTATTTATCATTCTATATTCTTTAAATATAATTATCCAAAAAATATTCCCAATTTTCTAACATAAATCTCCGTTTTTGTATATTTTTCACTTAATAAACTTGATAATTTAATGTCTTGTAATAAAACTTATGCCTCGAGCTGTAGATACCACCCGTTGCATCCACTGAAGCTGCACAATTCTTACGCATTTTTTGATATACGAGCAAATGCAAAGACGGACTTAAAGTTAAACCCCCTCTGTAACCGATCGTCATACTTACATTTTCGCATGCTGTGCGACATGAGCCGAAGACCTGATTGCAACATGTGAAGATATCTGCAAGAGACGCAAAACAAACAGAAAATGAGCATGTTTCGAGATTGAGGAAAACAACAAGTAAGTGAGCAAGAGTGCATCGTATCAGGGTTTAATGGCTTGGCTCACGCATTTTGACACCACTCAGTAAATTAAAATTTAAATAAATGCCACGGCGGAGGATCGTTAAAGGAGCAGCGCGATCAAGATCGCCACATGTGGGTCTGCAGATGCACTTCCTCTGGGCACAAATCACGATGCTCCTATAGAGGGGCGGGGATTCGGTTTTCGCACTAATTAGGTGGCAGGGTATCCGGCTTATCTACAAGTTTGCCTGGTGACTGATTACTTATTAAGCACTTATTGCTTGTTTTTCTCTTATTTTTTCCTCCCCTCATTGCTTTGGTTCATTTGGAAGATTGCTCATTGGGTGTTGGACTTTTCTGGCGAAAAGAAATGGGGAGATCTTGTGGTGGGATGCGGTCGGAGATGACAGCGTGATACGATGGATGAGTAAAGGGAAGATACTTAAAGGAATATCTATATATTTAGAGGATAGTAATATATATGAAGATATGTACATACAAGGAAATTATAAATATTTCTTACAAGTTAAAGCCTTTAAAAATATATTTTATATTTAATAAATGCTACCTAACACCAGGTATACCTGGTAATTGACATCATTCTGATTGCATTCCAGATTGAACAAGTAGATAAGCCACCAAGTCCTAGCGAGATGCATATGAATGAGTTTTTAGCTCGAAGAGATTGGTTAATCGTGGCTCGAATAATGTAATTAATTTTATACAAAGATCTCCTATAATCCCTTCTTCACCATCTCTAGCTGGAAGCGCTTCCCATGTCTGACATGTGCGACACATGTCCCCGATTCTCCGTGCTCCAATCTCCGGATCTCCCGGATCCGGGACGTGTGACAGGGCGCTGGTGGGGCCTGGGGGTTCAAAGAGTTTCGTTTGAGTGCGTGAAAAATTTGAGTTTTTGTCACTTGCGAATGGAATTGGGGGGCTACTGAACTTCACAGAAGATCAAAAGCAGTGCCCATTAATTAAGTGTGCAATTGCCAACGGAGGATCCGGCTAAGATCTCCCCCTTTTCTACTACCACGTATTTTTGGCCCAGCCATTTTCATTTCGGCCAAGCGTCTCCGTATAGTTTGGTTCTTTCTTTTTTAATTTTTCGTGTTTTTTTTTCTCTCGGGTTGAGTGACTAATTTTAGCGGAAATTTACTTTGAAGTCCACCGAAATAAATGTTGGCCGCGGCCTATGAACATTGATTTTGGGGAATATATGGATTCAGATATGCAAATGCGAATGCGAAATGTGTGACAAATGGCTTGGAAAATGCCATTTTGATTTGCCGGGCGTTGTGTTTTCATTCAACCCCATTCGATTTTATTCTAATTCTGATTCAGTTTTTTTCAGTTGCCATTTATTTATAAAACTGTTAATGTTTTCATTTGTGCTTGCTACTCTCCGGCATAGTGTGCCGTTGAGTGCTATTTTTATTATCTTAGTTTCAGTTTTAGTTGCAAAGTTGCGCAGTCTTTGGCGGTTTCTTTCTTTATTTGTTTTTTTTTTTACTGTGGCCAATGATCTAAGTTGGCTGTCAACGTACGAGAAATAATATTTTGAAATTATTAGGATTACTTTTAAATGCTTTAAAATATTTTAAACAACATTTTGTAATAATTAAAACTTGAAAATTTAAGTTGTTTGTTGTTTTGTCATGTTGATTTTATGAAAAAAGGATCTTTTTAAATTTTTCTTTAAAATCGAGACTTTTATAAAACCAAAAAACACTGCATATAGATTTTAAAAAATATATTATTATAAAATTATTTAATTTAAAATTATTAATAACCCATTTTAAAATTGTTTAGCAATATTTTGCAAATATCAAAACGTCAAATTCTAAGTTGTTTGCTGACTGGTCACGTTTTATTATAAAAAACGCATCTCCCTAAAGTTTTTTTCAAATTTGAAACTTTTAGAAAACCAAAAACACTTCTCCTTAATTTAAAATAATATATATTTATAGCATTTTTTAATTAAAAATTATTTATAACCCATTTATTAACCCGAATATCATCACATATATTCCCTATTCAAATCTGATTTCGCTTATAATTTTTCCCTGTATTATTTCATATCATAAAACAACTAATTTTGATCTCAAAGTGTATCTATCAAGTTGATGACTATTACAAATTTTTCTTTACCCCGAAGAGTCTATGGAATGGGGCGTCTTCTATAAATAAAAGAAATCCCCTGAATGGCGGTCTCCGATTCCGATTCGCTGGCTCATGTCAAGTGTCACAGCTGATTTGTCGCTGCAAAGTATTCCGACATTCGCGTAGATAGAGATACATACCTACGAGATACTTCCATCAGAAACCCAGTGAATGGCCGACCACCCGTTTGATTAACGTGAATGCAGCAGAAATGAGTGTTTAATGGGCCTTTTTTTTATAGACGCAACGCATCTAAAGACACAATCGAGGGTTATTTGTATGCAAAGCATTTCAAATGCCGCGCAAATCAAATGATTTCGGATGCACAACACCACTCGATGTGGACCCAAGGAATTTCCTTTTGCGAAAAGAGCCGGCGGCAATCAGTTAAGCAGCGCGGCGGCGACATATACGAGCAGGCCATAAAATTTCATTGGAAATCTAACACATTTATCATACACACACATCCCATTCCCCCTGCCAGTCCATAATTCACTCGGGCTTGGGAGTTAATAAAACAAGGCAGGGGAAAATCAACTGAGTAGGGAGGCGGCTCAGAGTCCAATTCGAAATCCCAAAGCCTTATGCTGGCGCCATCAGGCAGCAGCTGCCCAGCTTTGCCGCAATTTAAACTAATTTTTAACACAGTTCCAATTTATGCTTGATTCCAACACGCATTCGCCAGATACATTTACAGATACAGATACAGATAGAGATACACTTGTATCTGAAACAACAGTGGCATCATCATCAGCACTTTCAATTAAAACATTTCGCTCGCGAGCAGAAAGAAAATTATTGCTTTTGATTAAGTGAGTGGCTGCGGTTCGGAGAGAGGAGTGTGCTTCCATTTAAATGCAAATCCAAGTGGGCGGGGTTCGCGACTAGTATTTATATTCCTATAGCTATAGCTGACCAGCCCTAAAAATGCGGGTCTTAGGGGAGAGCATAACGTTGAAATATATCATATATGATAATGTGAAATAATTACATTTTTGGCTTCGATTATTAAGAGGAAAATTAAACAAATTAAACCAGGGGAATTTATAAAGACTGATAAGTTTTTATTATATGTGAAGATAGCTGTGAAATATGGCATATATTTTTCATAACATTTCATCAAAACAACTTGCAAATTACTGCATTTCATTAAAATAAAGATATACGAACGAGTAGCACACCTTTATAAATATGTTTTCTATCAATCAAACACGTATTTTTTACAGTCAATCAAATAAGTGTCAACTTGTCATTTATTATTATTACCTTTAGAGAATATTAAAGGGTATTCAAATACTGATTTTATTAAAAAACTGTGGCGATTTAGTTAAGAAAATATTATTTGAGAATTTTATATAATTTGTCAGCTTAATTTTAGAAAATATGTAATGCATATTAACTCTTTGATAGATGTTAGTATAAAATACGAACACAACCCTATTAAATCTATTTCTATCTAGAAAATCTGCAGGGAAATTTCTATAGAAAAGTACAATTTTTTGTGCAAAGTAATAATATTATATTCTATATATATTTTATTTATAAAAATTATAATTCAGTTTCCCAACTGAACCCTATCAAAGCCATTTGTCATACATGATTTTTTTTTCTCGCCCCTGATAAGCGGCTGCCTTTGAAGGGACCGCCAAGGGTCACTTTACTGGGTCACTACTTGCTTATCAACTCACCAGGCGATTCTCCGGATGATTTCACAGTTCCCAAAGCCGCCGTTTCGGAGCTATCGATGACCTCGCTGGTGTCCGCCTCCAACCAATCGTAGTCATCCGAGTCCAGGCTCACCGAAGATGCCTCAGTTGGTCGCCGGCTATTTTTCCTAGCTCCTCCTCCTCCTCCAGCCAGGTGACGCTGATGGTCCACCGAGGCATTGCTTTTGTTGGTTCGCCTTCGCACCTGACGCTCCGTGGAGTGCAGGTGATCGTTCTTGGTGCTCTGATTCTCCTCCAGCTGGCGAACAGCACTCACCACGCCAAAGGGCAGCAGGAGCAGCAGGATCGCCCAGCCAATCGGAAGCATTTTTATCACTATTTCCTTATGGATTTTCGCTCACTGATTCACTTGGTCCGTACTTTATGCCGATTGTGTTGAGTGCATTTTGTGCACACACACTGATAAGTCAATGCGATCAAAAGGAAATGGAAATGGGCATGAAAATGAGTGTGTCACAAGTGCAAGTCAAAGTTTCGCTGGGTTCAGCTACATGGCCAACGGGCATCCGTTCGATAACGCACAGTTTAAAAATATAAACAAATGGATTTTTCCTACACAGGGAAAAAGTTTATATATTTATGAAGTTTTTTATTAAGAAATTAGTCTAACAATTCAGTTACGTCCTTTCTAAGAGGGACCCTAGTTAAATATATTTTTATCTCGACTTTAAAGTTAATTAATCTTCTAAATGTTTTTAATTTTGTTAGTTTTTAAATTTATAAATTAATACATTTTTTACTGGTAAATAAGAATAAATAGGACTTTCAGCAATCACTGGATTTTTTGGTATCTCTTATGACCTCAAGAAGACCTGAAGAATCGCTTTGTCTAAATCAAAATTTTCCGATATTTTCATAATGTTTATTTTTTGAGTGTATATATTTATGAAGACTCTGCCTGCGATGCTCGTTACTAGATAGTGATTGGAAAAAAACACAGACAAATAATGAAAAACGATTAAAGTTAATGTTCTTTATGGCCGGGACAAGGGACTCTATTGATAGGGAGTTGGGCTATCTGCTGAAATATACATAAGACTGAGTGTGGAAACATTCGGATTCGGAGCACGCCTTCGCCTCCGCCTGCGCCACTTGTCCACTTGTCCACAAAGCTGTCACACAGTAATTAAGCCAATTGACCTCGCTTGGCCGGCAGGCAGTTTGGCAAAGCGTTCCTTCTTTTTCACAAAGCAAAGTGGCAAAGGCGAAGGCAAAGGGAAGGGCAAAGGCAACGGCAATGGCGACAACATTTTATTAAAAGTGAAAAAATATAAATAAATAATATCAAAAAGCGCCAGCAGTGGTAGCTGCTGCCGACAAACAAAGTGACACAAACGGAGGGGGTCGTGCACTAATGATGAGACTCGTTTCGGGTTGGGTACTTGAAGAACGCCCCTCGCCCAGACCCCAGCGCTTACTCTGTATTTTTCGCTTAGTGTCCTTGCAGTTTGCACTTTAAAAAAATGTCCTAGTACTTACTGCACAATTGTTTATTATTGTTTTATGAATTTAGACATTTTCTTCGACTAGAAAATAAACAAATAAATATTTTTAACACTTAAATAATAATAAAAAACTGTTATAATGAAATATAGAAGTGATAAAGTCTGCATTGAAGTATCATGTTCTTCCCTTTTGGTTCATTTAAACATTTTAAGCCACCGCTTTTTATTCAAAAACACCTAGAATATTACTCAAACCTTTACTAAATATTTTTTAATTTATTTTTTTAATACCCAGAGATTTTTTTAAACCCACAAACAATTTTTCTCACAATTATATGCATTGGATTTGGGGCTTTCTTTGCTTTTGCCAGTGCTTGTCGTCTGTGCTTGTGTCAAAGCGCATAGCAAAGCAAGCGGGCGGCGGCGGCGACAGTGAAAGCGAGAGAGGTTCTGTGGGGGAGGCAAAGTAAGTGGTGGGTGGTGCCCGGCTATCAGCGTTGAGTTGAGCGGTGACTGTGCTTTGATGTCTTTCTAATTGCATATTTTACAGCGCCAGGGAGTCGGCGCTCACACTCGCATCCCAGCCCGATGCAGTGCTGCTATCCTGCAAAAAGGATAGCACTTTCGGCGAGAGTGGAAAGTAGAGCTATTTGCTATGATGTGGATGCCTCTGCTACCGCACCGACCCCCGCCCCCCCATGGGGCCCGCCCGCTCAAAGACGCTGTCATCCAAAGTGGACCAGGACCTGGTTGGTTTGTCAACTTCAGCGTCAACGTCAGACGAGTGTCTGGGTAGGAGGGAGTCCTGAGTATGAGTAGGAGAACGAGTGCGAGAACACAAAGGCTAAGACAAAGGCGGCATGTTCAAAAACTAGACAAATATTAACTCATATGCAGCTTGAGGTTGGGCGGGGATTGGATGCCTTTGTCTTTGCAGAACTACAGGCCAGCTTCCCATAGGTAGAACTTGGCTAAGATAGGTTTAGGCTTTGAAGTTAATTTAAAGTAAATTTTGCAAATGTTCCCTAAGAAAAAAAATACATCTTCTTTCAGGAAAAGTCACAACTGCTATTAGAAATAAAATAATAATAGTTTTCATCAGTAATTTTATATTATCATTATTAATTTCTGAATTCTGGCAATTTCCTTTGATAAAAATAACACAAAAAATAGATAACTATTTCTTTCTTTTATATTTAAGTTTTTTTGTCCCCAAAATCCTTGTTATTTTTACGGAAGCTCCACTGTTTCTTCTGATTGTGGCTGAAACTCCTCTTTGATTGCAATGGGAGAACGATATGCATCACACAGAAAATGGCGCCACTTTGGCCAAAGGGATGCAAAAGGAGCCGCAAAGGACTCCACAACAACTACACCCACAAATTGCACTTGCACACACACACCTATACACCGGATAATCACTTTGATTTGTTTGCCGGGTTCACTGAGCTTTTATAGTAATCTCACATTTTAGTTAAATTTTCTTTTTATAATTTCAACTGACTGTTATTTAGTTTCACTTTATCTCAGTTAAATTATATATTTTAATTCACGTTTAAAAAACTTTACGCGCCGCATTTAAAAGACGTTCCGCGGCACAACCGCTTCCGTTGAAATTTTGGAGCAGAATGTTTGAACCAGGGTGGGGGCGCCGATAACAAGCTGCCGATGCAATCGATAATAATACATCGATGTGGGGAAAATATCAATCGATGAACCGATAGTATTATCGATAGCTGTTTTACCACCCCTAGTAGCCGGCAAAGTTTGCGTGCTAATTCATTTTATTTAATTATTTCATTTACGCTCGCCACTTGACAGTAATGCCCATTACGTAATGGAGGCTATTACCTTTGGAGTTCTGACCATCAGTGACACCTGTTACCAGGCGCCGGCGAAGGACAAAAGCGGCCCAAAGCTGGTGAGGCTCATTGGCGAGACCTTCCAGAATGCCGAAGTGATTGCCAGCATTGTGCCAGACGAGCAGGAGCTCATCCAGAGGGAGCTGCGCAAGTGGATTGCTCGGGAGGATCTGCGGGTGATCCTGACCACCGGCGGGACTGGTTTTGCCCCGCGCGATGTGACCCCAGAGGCCACAAAGCCGCTGCTGGAGAAGGAGTGCCCCCAACTGGCCCTGGTTATTGCCCTAGGATCGCTGCAGAAAACCAAATTTGCGGCCCTTTCCCGGGGAGTCTGTGGCATTGCTGGAAACACGCTGATCCTTAACTTTCCGGGCAGCGAAAAGGCCGTGACCGAGTGCTTTGAGGCTGTCAGCGAGCTGCTGCCACATGCCGTTCATCTTATCGGTGACGAGGTGGCTTTGGTAAGGAAAATTCATGCGGAAGTCCAGGGAACCCCAACGCAATCCGCATCTACAGTCATCGCACGCACAGCCCATGTGTGTCCCCACAAGACGGGAGCTGGCAGCGACTCGGATCGCAATTCTCCCTTTCCCATGTTGCCCGTCCAAGAGGTGCTCTCCATTATCTTTGACACGGTGAAGAGGACCAGCGATCTGGAGAAGCTACTGTGGCAGCAGACTTCGCCGGTGAACATACCGCCCTTCAGGGCTTCCATCAAGGATGGCTATGCCATGAAGTCAACGGGATTCTCTGGAACCAAGCGCGTCGTGGGATACATAGCTGCTGGATCTGCACCTAATCCTAGTCCTCTGGCGGAGGATGAGTGTTTCAAGATAAACACAGGAGCACCGTTGCCTCTGGAGGCGGATTGTGTGGTGCAGGTGGAAGACACCAAGTTGCTGCAGCGGGACAAGCACGGTCAGGAGAGCCTGGTGGACATTCTGGTGGAGCCACAGGCCGGCCTGGATGTGCGGGCCATTGGCCATGATCTGAGCACCCAGGATCGCATCTTCCCCTTTCCAGATGCCTCTCCTGTAGTGGTCAAATCCCTACTGGCCTCCGTGGGCAAGCGGTCGTCTGTGCGACGCCCCAAGGTGGCCATAGTGTCCACCGGCAGTGAGCTGTTGGCTCCGCATGATCAGCCTGTGGCGGGCAAGATCTACGACTCGAATACCACCATGTTGGAGGAGCTGCTGCTGTACTTTGGCTTCGATTGCATCCAAACCACCGTGCTGAGCGATAGCTTTGATGAAACCAAGCTGGCTTTGGTGAATCTATTCGAGACGGTGGACTTTGTCATCTGCAGCGGTGGTGTATCCATGGGCGACAAGGACTTTGTGAAGCCTGTGCTGGAGCATCTTCAGTTCAAGCTGCACTGCGGCCGGGTCAACATGAAGCCCGGCAAGCCCATGACCTTTGCCAGCCGGGAACAGAAGTACTTCTTTGGTTTGCCCGGGAATCCCGTCTCTGCTTTTGTCACATTCCATCTGTTTGCCCTGCCCGCCATCCGCTGGGCAGCTGGCTGGGATCGTAGCAAGTGCACCCTGCCCGTACTCCAAGTGAAGCTGTTAAATGAGCTGCCTTTGGATGGCCGTCCGGAGTACGTGCGCGCCTCAGTGGTTTCCAAAAATGGTGAACTCCAGGCCAGAATCGTCGGAGATCAAATCAGCAGCCGCTTGCAGAGCATCGTCGGCGCTGATGTGCTCCTTCATTTGCCGGGACGCACCTCGGAGCGGACGTCAGCTAGAGCAGGCGAGGTTTTTTCGGCCTCTGTACTACGCTACGACTTTATCTCCAAGTACGAGTGAGATCATGACAATACGATGCTAAAAAACTGGTGCTGGGACCCCTCGAATGTTAGAAAGACATGACAAGATGCCTTCCTAGATTAGCACAAAAAATTTATTGTTTCATCATATGTCGCAACCATGAAGTCTAGAGTGTTCAAAACACTTCAGTGCTTATCAGAGCGAGGCATATGTATGTACTATAGATTTTTTTATTTATCTATAAGTACACATAATACCTATACATACATATAAGTATGCTTCTACACGATGTTATCTGATTTTTATGCAACATGTTGCACTGATTTTTACTAAAGTTTATTAAAGAAACAATTATTATCAGCTAACTGCTACGTATTTATACTTCTGGGTGGGCTTAAAATTGAATCTATCATGAGATTGAATGCGAATTTATAAGATATGTACTGGAAGTTAGTTCTTGGAGACTACAAATAAATAATTAATAATCATTTCTTCCATTGTAGGATTAGAAAATTAAATTTTAAAATGTATTAAATTCAAAATTAAGCAATTTTTACTTTGTAAAACGATTCTACTATGATTTTCTATACATTTTTCAGTCAGAAAATGATTATATTTATCTAAAACTAGAGTAATTTAAAGCCAAAACAGCCTGGATTTTAATTAAAATTCAAAAAATGTATTAATAAATTACGGCTGCCATATTTGTTATTTATTAAATTTACATTTACAATTTAAATCCAACCGTCAAGTGTTGGCAACCCTACACTGCTTGTATAGAACTGCTTTGCCACAGAGTTGCCACAATTTTTGAACACTCCAACTACACTGAAATTTCCGTTTCCGTTTCCAATCAGAATTTACAAAATATAATGTTCTTAGAGTTAATTTATTTTTAATATTGTTTATATCATTTTAATTATTTTCATTTTGATGGTTTTGGTTTCGAAATGGTTGTTTTGGAATATTTTCCTGGCTTTGGTAAAGAAAATTTTAAATAAATGTAAAATTATTAACAATTAAAAAAATCGAAAAAGTCAATAAGTACTATTTGGTTATTTTTCTTTTGTTTTTAGTTTATTTATTTCCGAATAATTTAAATTCACATACATATAAGTTTACATATACATTTTCATTCATATGAATATAGGTTGTTCTGTAGTTCTGTATGTGTATATTTATATTTTAGGTGGTGTTACTCCTCAATTTTAGGTTTAGCTTCCAACAGAGTCCCCGTAAGGCTACAATAAATAAACACTATCTGTAGGAAATATATTTGTATATATATGCAGTTTTGTACATTTCGCTTTGCTTTCGTGTTATTATTTTGCTTTGCATATTTCGTGCACATTTCATGTCCTTCTAAGAATTGTAAAGTAACAATGTTTTGCTTAAATCGGAGGTATTTCAGCATTTATCCTGTTGTGTTGTTATTTGTTGGGGTTTTATTCGGTATTTTCTCCGTGTCAGCAATGTGGTTCTGTGATTCGCCGGACATTCGGACAAATTGAAACAATTTATGTATGTAGAAGGATTTTTTTTATAGAAAAACTTTGTATAAGTATAGAGTGTATAATATATAGTATGTATATATATATTTTATTTATATGCTGGCTCCCTAGAGTATGTACTTGTTTTTTTGTCTAGTTAACACGTGCAGTGCTATGTATCCTTTATTTTTCAAGTCTTTGGTAAAGTACACACACACATTCAGTTTTTGTATTCGGCTGCGATATTTATACGGATTAAGTAGCATATTTTACACACATTATAAGGACAGATTTCCCATAATTCGTACGACAACACCAAAAACACACGCATAGATTTATGTGAAAGAAATCGTCAAACCCTCTTAGCTCTCAGTAGCAGCTCTCCACCCGTAAATTCTTATTATCCTTGCAATACTCGTTGTAAGCACATACAAAATAGTAGGCTAAAGTGCTCGAGAAAGGCTCCCTGGCATCCCTCGATAGACGTACTCAGTTGGAAGGAATATTCAACTTAACAATTAGCATAAGTTCTCTCCTTTTTTCTTGGTGCTCGTTCGCTTCTCCCCCTTGGCTCTGTGGGAGAAACTGTCAAACAGTTGACGACAACGACGACGACGACAAAACACACACAGGACTCGGAACGGGACACGGCAGGATCGAATGGCAAAAGGACAACAGGACGATGGCAATTTGTCAACTGTCGCCGTCACAAAAGAGCGACTCCTTCTAGGTCCTGGCATGATTGACGACCATTCACCTATACGAATATTATTCCCCGCGCGGTGTATTCATAATTATTTAAGAAATGCACACTTGAATACCTTACGGCGGATAAAAAGGAGCAAAAGGAGCAAAGGCAGGCGGCTCCTCAAGTGTCTGGTAAAGTCGTGTTTGAAATGTCAACAAGTCTCGGTGACAGTTTGTGTGTGCACCCTTGCTGTTTTATCCTTTTAGGTTTCTCCCCCAGGAACCGCTCACTCTCGAGAGATTGCACAAAATGCACAGTTTAAGGAACAACACAAAAAAATCCGTTAAATCAATTGCCCACAAAAACACATTCAATTAGCAAATGTCGTGGGCAATTTTCGAAGTTTCTGTCGTTGTGTAGGAACTTTTGATTGAGCTTCTTGGAGGGCAAGTTAATGCTTAGTTAAGTAGCTGCAGCCAGTGTATATATATATATTGTATACTCATATATATATATCTATATATAGGTGAGATTTTTTTGATTTCGTTATAAGCTTCAGAAAATGCAAATGGAAAATTCACACAGACACACAATTGGTTACACACGGTTACGGTAGAACACCTATTATCAGGGGTGCCCAAAAAAAACTAAAAGAAGACTTGTTCCATCCTTGTTTTTCCACAGCAAATAGAGAATCAAAGGAGCAAGGGAGCTAGGGGGCTAAGGAGCTGGGTAGCAAAGGTTTCAACTGGGCACCCCTGATCTATTAAGCAAATCATAACCCCTTAAGTGCCTAGCGAATGTAGTGCCACATGGCCGTCGGTTTCCGGGCATTGTTAATCATGTCGTGCCAGTGCTGGCACCCAGTTCCACTCTCCTGGGGCCCCAGGCCGCAGCACCCAATTTCCGTGGCCTCGCTCCCGGCCCCGACCACGTAAATCTGCAAAGATAAGCAGCCAAAGAAAAAATATAAAAAAATAAAATCAGATATCAGGTGCTGGCGAGGGAGTTTTTCAATTAAAACACACAACGATGGGCCAGCCATTAAACCGTGGCTATGGCCTGGAATTAGCAGCAAGGCTGTTAAAAACGGCCGAGGCCAGCGGTTTATGGATGCCAAAAGGTTAAAGGTTATACGTTACCTCGATGGCTGCATTGTGGAGATAATTTGATTGCAAATTAAACGTGAATGCCTCATTCCAGATGGGATTGGTGGGATCGTCGGACTTTGTGATGCTCGTCTTCTTTTTCTTGATGCGCTTGCCGTTTTGAATCAGGTAAATCTGTGAAGGAAATTCATTAAGTTTATGAGGCTTTGCTACACAAAGAACAAATTTTTTAATATTTCTAGGGTTAAGATAAAATAAATAATTTCTTTATCTTAGTAAAACTCTAAGGAAATTCCAGGAGAAAGCTGTGAAAGTTGACCGGCAACTGTCGCTTCATTTTGGTGATGTTAGAACCAGTTGGGAATTATATTATTACATATTATGTAATAATTTACCAGTAAAATCAGTGATATTTGCCCTTATATTAAGAAAGTAACTAGACGAAGCGAATCAGATACGATCTTTCAACTATTCAATTTTAGTTTTTAAATATAAATATCTATAATATTTCTTGTTTTATATATATTTTATTATTATATATTATTTTTCCAATGCATACCTTGACATAGGGTTCCTGAACCGTGTCCAAATTCCTTGCCTTCATTATCACCACCGTCAAACGCTCGGCCTGTGGCAAATAGTTCAAAGAGCAGAGCAGCTCCGGTCGATCCTCCTTGGGCTTCTTGGTGCGCAGCAAGTCTCCCCAAATCTTTAAAATATATTTTTTTTAATTTAAAGCATAAATAAAACTCACAAAACTTACCTCCACCGACTTGGACAGATCCAAACCATCCACTGAGATTCGAACCTCTCCAATGATATCATTGTGCGAGTAGCGATCATAGTCGAGCACCTGGAGAATCAGCTCCTTGCCTTGAAGCTGGTCGCGGGAAACCGGGAACTTGAAATGCTGGTCAAAGTAGGGGTTCGACTCGCCACGATGGATGTGAGTCTGTCGCTTTCGGCTGTCTACTTCTGGTTGCAGCATAAGCCGAACGTAAGGATCCCGGAAGCCGCCCTCTTCAATAGGACTGAGATTGTGAGCTAAAGGGTTAAGAAGTTAAGGATTTAAAATTACAATTTAGATTTAAAATAAATCAAAAATAGAACCCACCTTCAATCAGATGCACCGTCAAATCAAACAGGTGATAATCGTACTTTACACGCAAATGCAAGCGTCCCACGGCATGACTGGATTCAGGAGCTGTCAGATACACAGGACCATCGGGCAATCTATAAAGATCCGGCTGTAAAGCACCCAATGGCGAAGCTGGACCCATGGCGGGATCCACTCCAGGCTGTGATCTTGGCGGTATCAGCAATGGCGAAAGGCAACGACCTCCACCCACGCCCACACCCTTGCCCGAGCCACTACCCGAACCACCTGCCAGCGAAGCCAAACTGCCTTGCGAAGGACTGGGCGTTCTCATATCACCCGGATCCACCGAATGGGCAGGACTGCCACAGCGGGCATCCAAAGAAATGGTTCGCATGGGACTGGGTGACCTGGCCAAATGGTGGGGAAATGCCGGCTCACTGGGCAGCGAGCTGCGTCCGTCCGGTCCGAAGGTCCTTATCTGTGGAGAGGAGCCGCGATGACCCTGCCAAGCAAGTTCACAAAATTAAGAAAAATAATAAAAGAAAAAAGAAGGATAAATCCAACTCACCGAATGCCTGGATGGGGCACTGTCCACGCTGCTCTGGCTGGAGATGGACGGTGTGCGTTGGAGGCGCGGCGGGAAGGAGCGGCTCTGGTGATGCAAATGCAGCGGACTGTGGAACACCTCAGCGGGTCCGCGTAATATGTCCGTTCCAGTGGCCGAGACGGCGCCCATGTGATGATGATGATTCATGCCCATCCCTCCATGCATGCCATGCATATGGGTGGCCGGCTGGATGGGCTGGCACTCCTTGGCAATGGCCACCTCCTGGGGGGTTAAAAAAAGAAAGGATAAAGCTTTTTAGTAGGCTTTGCCAAGGGGAATTTTCGCGCTGCCATAAGAACCTCCGAGTCCGTGGGCAAATCACAGCTATCGCTGACACTACCGGCCGAAACGCTTCCAATGCCGCTGGTGGTCGACGTTACCGACGATGCCGATGGCGGCGGGGTCATGGGCTGTGGCGGCGGTGTGGTGGAACTGCCCGAGATACCATCTCCCGTTGGCAGGATGTGCACCAATCCCGGGCCACCGGAGCCATTACCACCGCCCACGGCCGATGTGCCGGAGGTGCCACTCCCACTGCCGCTGGGAGTGCCCTCATCTGCCGAATTCCGGTCGAGCGTTACCCGACGCACCGCTCCCACGCGCTCCTTGGCCATCCGGGACCAGGATTCGATGCGCTTGTGGGCCAGCCAACAGGCTGCCGGACCCAGGCCGCTCATCTTTTTCCCAATTACTGACGGAACTGTGGCTGTGCGAGAGCGCTCCTTTAGCTTTATTTTACTTTACTTTATTTTTCTGGAGGGAAGAAAGGAGATGCTGTTGCTTGGATACCTTTCAAAATTTGGTTGGGCAAAAAAAGAATTGTTGCTTCAATGCTTTTTGCTTTCTATACACTTGAAAAAACGAGGAAAGATATTTCTTTTAACATGTTAGAAATTTTGTTTACAAAAAACTAAGACTTTTAAAAAGAATAAGCCTTTATTTTCCTTGTATAAAAATAACATAAATCATTTCTTGATTTCCCACTCCTTTACAAATTAATCTAAAATTTTTCTACACTTAATAGATCTTAATTTTTCCCAGTGCATCCACACAATTGGTCGCTGTTAATCCGCTTAGGCAAATACACTCACACGCCATTGGATTTGTGTAAACCACCAGAGAGGAAATGAGGTAATGGACAGGATGAGATGAGTTGATGCCGGGCACGAGTGCGGTTTCAGCTTGAACTGGCCTTCAACTGGCATTAATTATGTTTCAATTTTGTTGCAGATCTTGGTACTAGTTATTTTTGAGTATTTTATTTTTTCAGAAATATTTTCTTTGGAAAATGAGCAGAGCAGCCGCTTATTTATTGCTGCTGTGACGCACTTTGCGGTTGAATGGTCACTAGTTAGTGGCTTTATTAAGCATCTGAATGGACCAAAAGCATCAAAAGGGGGTTGAGAGGGTATAAATACTAACTGTATAACCATGGCAACTGCACTAACGAACATTGTGCGTCAGAAGGACGCTACCGAAGCCGCTAATCAGGCTCTAAGTAGCTCCTAGCGTCATTATAATGGTGCCAAGGTGTTCTAAGAGGATAAGGACTAATTATCAGGCAAGAAAATTACTAGGAACATTAAACTATGATTTGTATTCTAATTTAACTTATGATAGCTTCAAGAATAAGGCCTTTAAAGTATTTTGGCATTTTTAAAAGATTTTTATAGCAAAGTGAAATATTTTTTAAGACCTTCCTTTAGTTTTTAAACATTAAAAATTACTAATAAATTATAAAAATTAATTTTTGGCTTTTGTTTACTTTAAAGTTATCTTCTGAGAAGCCTTTAAATTCAAGAAAGTAAAAAGTATAAATATGCTAAAAGCATCTTCTGCTGCTAATGAAAGTTTTATATTAACCACTTCCTGCTGGCAATTTCTGGCCAACTTTTGGTTAATATTAGACCAGAGTCTATGCCTATCTGGCAATCCTATAAATATGCAGAAGAAGCCTGCCCTCGTATCATGAATATGCAGACGAGGCATTCTCCTGGCAAACCTCACAATTCCCCAGCGGGCGATTTGTCTTGCAGTCCTCGCAGCACCTCTCCTATATAAACTTGGTCTTTTGCATTCCATTCGATTGCCACATCCTCATCCTTAGCCTCATCCTTATCCTCATCCACTTAAACTCCCCGAATTCCACGTTTTTCGTTACGCAGCGTGGCGAAAGGCGAAATGCGAATTCATTGGCATTCGTACACGCCCAAGTGCCGTTAAATAGAGGGGATTCCCAGGGATACATACCCTCTATAGAGTATAGGGAATGCATGAGAGGGGTGGTGGTTGTTCAATACAAAAGTAAACAAAAAACTTATTTTTCAAGTATTAAATAAATTAAATGAAATTAAGCACGTGTAGCGAATGACATCAAAACATGGCAACAAGGATAGGAGAGAGCGAGGCAGGAGATGGAGAAAAAAAGGAGGAGACGAAATCAAGGACCAACCCTCAAATTAGTTTGGGATAATAAAAATGTGCTCGGTCAAAGAAAAATGTTGTCCAGGTCGCACACACACACACATACATTTGGTGTGTCCCAAATGTGCTTGTGTTTGTGTGTGTGGTATGTCCTAGATCTTCTAAAAGGATTTTTATTGATTTCGTAACATTACTCTGAGTTATTCATCACTTTCATTGCTCTGACTGTCGCCGATTTGGCTGTAGATCCTGACAAGGAAGCAGCTGTTTTAGGAAATTTGAACTTTACAAATAGTTCCGGAAGAGCTAATGTTTTTTTTTATTTTGGGGGTGTTTAGTTAATATAATAACAAGTTAAAGGAGTAACTAGAAATTCATGAAAACTTTAAGGACAATTAAGTAAATAATATATATTTTAATCAAGGGAATATTTAAGGACGTTCCTAACGAAAGGTACATTTACCCTCAACATTAAAAAACACAAAATTGGGGTATAAAATTCAGGGGTTCATTTTTCTTTATTTCAAACCAAAAACTACCTCAAAGAAGAGATACTTAAACCCAACATACGTATTAAAATCTCCCCCTCGACATGTGCCACACTTAAATTAGAGTGTGAAATTAATACCAGAGATTAAAATGTGTTACAAGCTCTTCTAGGGAATTTTCAACTACAAAATACACTCTACAATATAGACACACATAAATGGCAACATAAACTAATAATTTGGGTGTCAGTTTCGAAGCTGTAAAGTGTCCTAATCACTAATCCCCTCAACTGTCCTCTGTCCGAAGGGTGGAGAAACTGCGAAAACATCAACACTAATTCCATTGAAATGCAGCCAACCGCACCGTTCCTAATTGACACCTATGTAAACTGCAATCAAAGCGACAAACAGCCAAGCCCACACTTGGGACACACATTTTTCTCACCCCCTTATAAATAGAAAATGAGCGAAAAATCCCAGTGAAAATACCCCAAAAAAAAAGTGGAAAGAAAAACTAAAAGCGGTTCGAACTCAAAGGCAGCCGCACCCATGGCCATGCATGCAACCTATCATCATTGCAACCCCCTCGCAGTACCCCTTGTCGTGTGGATAAATATGAAAATGAAATTTTCCAGCTTGTTTGGTATTGCTGCAGGATTGATTAATGGGATTTTCATCGCCATTCTCCTCTTGATGCTAGAGCATTTCCACTTCGTTGTGCAACGGCGAGCTCAACTTTCAACTTTGCTCGGTCACAGTACGAATTTTCTTCCCTCAGCCAGGTTGCTATTTTTCCTGGAAGCTTTCGATGGATTTTCCTGCTCTTGACTGTCAGTTATGAGCTTGCCTCACTAAGTGCTAAAACATTGGCTGTGAACGTAAGAGGGTGATGTGTGTGTTTGAGAGTATATATAAACACGGTAAAGCTCTCAGGCAGCTCAGCCCAGACGAATCTGACATACTTCAAAGATGTTGCCTTAAACTAGAAATTGCCCTGAACATCCTTGAGATACTTATGGATTTTTAGGGATGGATACATAGAAGAAAGCGGGGAAATCAAATGTAAGAAGGATTAATTATTAAAGCATTTTAAAGGGGGAGTTTGTGAGGTTAAAGTAAAGAAATTGTAGATTTTTATTGAAGCTACTCTTTGAAAGATAGGTTTATATAATGTAAATAAATTGAAAAAAATATTTTAAAATATTTCTAAAAGGTTTATAAATATTTAACACTCAGTCTCTCAAGTATACCCTTAAATTAAAATCCTATAAAATCCTTTCAAGCTCAAATTTAATTAAAATCAAACTCATTTTCCATATTTAATCCACAAACTAGTTATGCATAAAAGTTAAGGCCATTCTGAGCCAACTTTTTCGATTAAAATGCTTGCATTTCGGTGGCCAAATGCATCGTAATCCCCGCCGCATTCTAATTAGTTGCTCAAAGTCATTACAAACTTGTTGCTGCCAGTGGAAAATATTGGTACACAACTGCAGTTTGTTCTTGGCATGTGGAAACTTCAAGGGGAAACTTTCGATTAGCAGGCTGTGTGAGTTGTACTCAATCTTTCTCAGCCTCAATTTCTGTTCGACATCGTTTTAAAAATTGTTTTTGGACTACCAATTTTTAGTTGAACTCTTAATTCCTTCAAACGCACAGCCATGGTTGCCCGCCTCATCATGAGTTTTCTGCTGTTGGGCGAGCACATCCTGCCCAGAACTAAATTACTTCATCAATCACTGATTCCTGTCCGGGGAATGGCCAGAAGGAGGGGCCACAGCACCGAGAAGGGCAAGAAGATCTGCGAGAGGAATCGGTTCTTTGGCGGCTGCTTTCGGAGTAAGTTTTGCCAAAACACTCATTAAGGGGGAGTTTCATTTCCATTTCCTAAATTTTCCGATCTCTTTTTTAGCGAATCAAGCTTATAGGAAGAAGCAGAAGGGCACGTGTTGTAGGGATCCCTGCAAGGATGGAGCCTGCCATCCCGGCAAATAGTTGGCATTAACTAAAAATCACTAAGTGTCAACCACCAACTTCTGGATTCCGTTTACATATGTTGGAAATAGTTCATTTTCTCCTGGCAAGGAAAACAAAAGGTTGGTCGATAAACAAGTCGAAAATATAAAAATTAAAAAAGCATTTTAAAAATAACTCTAAACCAGTTTTATTTCATTTATAATATATTTTATATTTTAATAAAACACAAGATACTGTATGGAAATTACTTTTAAATATTCACCCATTCTCCCTAACAGAAAATGTAGATTTTCCCAACTTAATTTCAAAACTTATCCCAGCTCAAAGGTGTGGGAGTTGCTGCACATTTCCTTATAAATTTCATGTGTACTTAGTGGCTCTTTGCATGTGTGGGTGTTATCTGTATCTGAAAGTGCAGCGCACACCGGAGTCACTGGTAATGTATCTACACAAACAAAAGATACGTGAGGTAGTCCGGTGAAAAACGCTCAGCATCTGTTGACACCTGTTTGTGGGGAGGCCAACACCACCCACCCAACCAGTTTTCCACACCGCCCGCCCGTCTTATGGGGCTGTCATCGGCAGACAGGACCTGTGTCCGTCCCTCTAAAGCTGCCATTGTGCGATGCATACATTTTAATCCTATTAGCACAATAGTTACTGTTATTTCATATTGCTGTAATTTTTCTAGATTGCTCTCCCTGCCACAGACACGCCAGCCAGCAAGAGAATAAAAAAAAACGCACAAAACCAACAACGCCTGTCACTCCAGCCGAGCGACGTCCTTGAGCTTGACCACCATCGCCACCGCCACCCCAAAGTCCAAGGCCAAGCCAAAGCCATTCCCACACCCACACACACTCGCACTCACACTCACCCTCACACCTCTGGGAAATGGGGAAAATGGGAAATGCAAAATTAGAAATGGAAATTGTCATCGCCGTTGTTGTTTCAGTTTCAGTTTCGGTTTTTTATTGTATGCACAAATATCCTGCGGTGTGGTCTGCTTTAGAAGTCCTGGCCAGAATACTTAGGTGCGGTCTACTGCAGTCTTCGAATTCGCTGAAAGCTTCTCTGCGTGTTTCGTCCAGGTGCAAAAGGCTTCAGCCGCTTAAATGCAGCAAAGACGGGGATGTTGGAAAAATGGAAAAGTGGCCACAGATGGTCAGTGACTGACGACGAGTTGGGGCCAAGGATTTGACTCTCAATGAGAAAGGTTTTCGCATTCCTGAGTACGGATTTACGGGGCTCATTTGAATTCCAAAGTGAGTGAGGAATGAACGGGCTAAAGTGCCTCTATAACGCTTCACCTGTGGCTTTTATGTTGCACTTTGTTAAAACTAACGATTTTTTGAGGAAGCCAAGAAAGTTGAAGGATTTCTGGGAAGGCAAAAGTAAATAAATCTGCATTTTAAGTTTACAATTTTTGAAATACATTTTTGAAGTATTTTTTAGGAATTTTAAAGGAATAAGGTATAAGGCTCTAAAAAAATTGCAAAATATACAAATTTATAAGATCGAAAATAACTTCTACACTGCCTTGCAAATTTCAGACTAAAATTATAATATTCTCCTAGGGTATTAAAAAACCTCCCACAACAAATTTTGAAAACTACTTCTAATCCATTTTTAAGTTGTTTAAATTTAACTTTAACTGCAACTTCCCCCACATAGCAGCTGTCCACTTAGATGCTTATTTATTTCAGTTTACTTTCAACTTTGGTAAATGAGCCATGTCCCTGGCGGAAACTTTATAAACTGACATGTGTCCGCTTGCCAGAAACTACTGACGAACTCATTAGGACCTTGGGATGGCCAGGCTAAAGGATAATCTGGCTGCCAAAAAAAAAAAAAAAATGGGAACAATTAACAATCAAATTAGGTATGCACACGACTTTATTGTAGTTTGGACAAAAGCCAAACAATTGGCCGGGATAACTTTTGACACACGTCGTCTAAGCCGTAATGTGAGCCGGGGCCAAAAAGGAGGATAGGTTCTTCCAGCAATCCCTGGACTCAGGAACAAGGCTGCCGGAATCAGGAACCACGAACAAGGAGTCCCGGCAGCCGACAAATGAACAGCAAACACACATACAATAAGATTTCCGCTGCATAAGTCCTTTGTAATCTCATTTAAATAATTGCGGCCAACAAAGTGGAAGTGAGAGGCGATGTCTGCTCGCCGGCAGACAAAAACCAAATCCGCAAATCTCAGCTTCTAGCCAAACAGACGGACGGATGGTCGGACGGGCAGTCAGCCATTCCAAACGTGGCCGGAAATTAAAATGTAAAACAGCAGCTCATTATACGCTCACCTACACACGCTCACACAAAGAACAGAGAGAGAGAGTGGGCGATTGAGAAGGACGAATGACTGGCAGGACTTGGCTTATACTGCACAACGGCAACGGTAATTCATCTTGCACTTTTTGTGGCTTAAAGGAAATTAGGTTGCTCACCAGCTCGTGCACTTTATGATCCTGCCACGCAATTTGTGCTGCCTGTTATTGCCCCGGACATTTATGGGGCAACTCCATTTGTGGCACGCTGCGGGGGCAACTGAAAACGGCCAACTGGCATGCCAACTTTGTACCCCGGCCTTGGATGCACTTTATTGGCCAACCTCGCATAAAACTAGTCTTTATGGCCAACACCTTAAAAATGCAAAGGACACGAAACAGAGATGGGTTTCGATTACGATTCGGCTGCAACGATGCAACGATTTTAACGAATGTTAAATGTAGTAGAAAGTGCAGTCAAAGTATTGCAATTGTAAATATAATAGGAGTAAGGATACTAATTTCCACTAAAATCATACACTTATAAGAATGTTTACCTAAAATCGCTCTGAAAAAGCTGCTCTAAAAAGTCAGTTTAAAGGATATACTACACCATAGGTTAGGTTAGGCTAAACCAAAAATATTATAAAAAATAATATAGTTTAAATGTTAAGCGTGAATGCCCTCCAAGTCGTCCTGAAAGAACAGTCCTTAAAAACACAGTTTCCCGCAAGGATTTTCAACAGTTTCGCGCACATATTGTCGAAGGAAATCAGTGGGAAATGGCGCAGTTATTGTGTGGCGAGAGAAAAAAAATATTCCGATCCAACACTTGTCCCGGGACAAGGGAAAACTGCCGATGATAATCCGCTCATCAAACGTCAATACAGCCAGCTCCCAACGAACGGAGAAGGGAGCTCCGAGCTCCGGAGCTCGGCGGTGGCCGGATGCCTGTCTGTCAACTTGTTTACAAAGCCGAGATGCGAACGAACGAGTCCTGGCCGCAGTTCTGGTGAGTAGAGACAGGACATCATCATCTGTAGCCACCCGGAGGCAAGAAATTAATCACCAATACAATGAAAATTGTGCGGCTGCAGTACATCGATTGCACTTAGCTGTGGCAGCTTTTCCCTGGTCGTGGTCGTGATCCTGGTCCCTTTCCCGTATCCTTTCCATCCTGGTAAATAGCCCCGCGGCCACACGCACACAGTGGCTCACAAAAGGGTTTTGCCTGGCGGAATGTGTTTAATGCTATTTGCTCTATTCTATTCTAGGGTTTTTATTTGGTTGAGAAATGGGGAGAGTAAGAGCCTTGCATTTGGTGGATAAGTTTCACAAAAAATGATTTCAGATCGGTAAGTTGATTGAGATCTGGATTATAGGTGATTATAGGAAGAATTGTGGCACTTGTTGGGTTACCCTTATGAGCATGTGAATTTTCTAATTGAAGGTTTATGAGTTTTTTAAAGAGTTTAGGGATATTTAAGAACAGAAGCGGAATGGAGAATAATTCACAATTCTTGTTATTCATTGAATATAAATTTTTTAAAATGAAAATTGTATATTATTCTCTAAGTAATACAGTTATTTCTTCAATTAAGAAACCCTTTAAATAATTTAATTAAAAATTTAATACACTTTCCTCCATTAACAAGCCATATTCACAGTCCAGTTAGTTGTCAAAATCTGTTAGCAAACTTCCTGCCATTTGCTACCTTTTTACTATTCCGACAATGTCCCCCCTTCCCCTCTTCCTTTGCGGTTTCAATCAAAACAAAATCAGACTCAATATTGCCATAAACAAATACAATGTAAGCCGAGAAATGTTTTTGCAAATCGCTGTGTGCAAAAGGAGCCAAAAATAAGGAAAACTGAAAATAAGGGATCAAAAGGAGTGCCCGCCTCTCGACAATTTGGCCATTTAACCCTTCGCAAATCAAAGGACTATTGTCTGAGAGCGGCAGAGGGGAGCAGAAACTGCACTGGGATGCATTGACATGATCCGATTTGCCATCTATTCAGATAATTCAGATATATAGAAATGCTGATGGCGATTGAAAATGCATGTTGCATGCAGGCGAATTATTCGCAATTCAATCTTGTTAAGGGACTTGAATTTGCTCAAGGACATTCACAGGACCTCCACTCCACTGCGCGAATGTAAATGTAGTCCCCCGATGCCAGAAACTTTTCTTCAAGCCCCTCAAACATTGTGACGTCAATGGCCTCGACATCGTCTCGGTTCAGCTGTTTATTTGTTGACTTTGCCCCAAAGAGTTTCAATTAGGCGCAGCATTTTCTGTTTTCAAAGTTTTAAATATAAACAAAGCCCATCTAAATTTCGGATGTGTTGTTGTAGAGGTTCTATATATATTCTTTTTTTTTTAGGTGATCTCCCAGCACAGCGATAATTTCATTGGGCTAAGCCAACTTACATTTTGTTGGACAGTTGATTTTTGACAAGGGAATGACATTGGGCGGCCATAAACTTTGGCTTAAAAGTGTTTAGGCTCAAATTAAAGCTGAAGGTTGGCGGGGTTTATTGAAATTAAATCGTTGTGAAAGGGATTATGGTTCATTTTTAAGAAATATATAAAGAAACCTTGGTTGGAAATGTAAACTATACATAGTGTAGATAATTGTACATAATTATTAACATGAGGAAAGGAAACTCAGACTAAAAAATATGTACCTGTCATTAAATGCAAATATTAGTTTAATTCTTAAATAACATTTTTTCACTAACCCTTATTCACTTAATTAACTTCACTTCTCTCTATTTTTTCCAACAGTTTTTATCATCTCGCCCCCACCTGATGGACATTTCAATTGTCAGTTTCTGATGGACAAATTAATTATTGCCTGAAATTTGATTGCCATTTGCCCGGGCAACAG